ACAATCTTGCAACCAAATGGGTCAAACGCTTCCTTTGCTGGCGCTGACCAAATAAAGCCGGGTGGCCTTTTGTCCAGAACGCAAACAGAATTTTTCCTGCCAAATTTTCCTCGGCCAAACCGGTGTCTCTCTCTCTCTCCAGGCGTGGCTGCCTTCAATCACTCCGACGTTATCAACTCTCTTGATTTAAAAGTCCGGCTGCCCCGTTAATATGTGGCTTAAGAAGAGATATTTCACCAAAGCCGAAATTCTCCACGGAGGCAACAACGTGGTCCACGAGGGGATGTTTAATCCCGCTACAAAGAGCTGTAAAATAATGTTGTTGTTTTTCCTGAACACTAAAAAACCCAAAAATTGATTTACTAACAAACGTAGAACCCTCGGTCAACGTCATTAGGGAATGTAGAACAGTTAACTAGCTGGATTGGTTTCTGATAAACAAACTTCCTTATTTTTCCTTCTTTTTTCCACATAAACAAAAGAGGGAACTCGCACGTTCCTTCCTTTCAGAAAGCGACCCATTTTTTTTCGGGCTCACCAGGGACGAACCGACAAATCTACCATCAGGGTTGGTTCGGATTGTCTCCGGTTGGTTACCCCGATCCTCTCCTTGGTCTTCGAAACAGACTTCTTGGGCATAGCGAGAGGGTCTTCTGGTGGAGCAAACCTCTTGAGACTTTCTGAGGACCAACTCTTTCCGTTGTATCCTTAATGTTTCAAGGGTTTTCTGGAGGATGTCTTCATCGGGATAATAACGAAACCGATCCGAATGAAGGTAGAGTTTTTCTCCTGCCAGGCCTTCTTCTTTGTAGGACCTCAACGTCTTGAAATCTTCGTAGACTTCCTTTATGGCCTCCTCCAATTTTAGGAGGTTGAAGTGGCCTTTTTGGTCTTGGACACTTGCCCAAACCACTGTGATCTCAATGCTCTTCTTCCTGGACCAGCTCTCTATGACTTCTGTAAGCTGCAATCGTCCGTTTTGGCTCAACCATCTTCCGCACACTTCCATGCTTCCAAATTCTCCAGGCATTTCTCCCAAGTTTTCAGGGGAGGGGCGGAAATTAGCCATCCTGCCTGTGCCTGGTGGAAGGAAGAATGGGGTGGTTGAAAACAGGAGGCTCATTCTGCACCCACCGGACAAGAGTGTCCCCCAATAATTTTATTTATTAACAATCACAGTTGCAGGGCTGCCCAACTTTGAGCGTGTCTGAAGTATGTGTGGAAGGTTCTGCCAAAAACCAACCCATTTTTAAGAAGCAGGTAAGGACAAACCAGGATAAAAATGAGGGCCACTGAAAAAGCCTAACCACCTAGAACTAAGGAGAAACTTCCTGACAGTTAGAACAATTAACCAGTGGAACAACCTGCCTCCAGAAGTGGTGAATGCTCCAACACTGGAAGTTTTTAAGAAGAGACCGGACAGCCATTTGTCCGAAATGGTATAGGGTTTCCTGCCTGAGCAGGAGGTTGGACTAGATGACCTCCAAGATCCCTTCCAACTTTACTGTTATTATTGTTATTATTGTTATTATTATTAGTTATTATTGTTATTGTTGTTATTACTGTTGTCATTGTTTTGTTGTTGTTGTTGTTGTTGTTGTTATTATTATTATTATTATTATTATTATTATTATTATTATTATTATTATTATTATTATTATTATTATTATTATTATTATTAAAGTTTGCATACCGCCTTGCACCCTTAACTATCCAAATGACGGTCGGTGCGTTTGCACTACCTTCTTACGTGACCAGCAATGGAAATCAAGGTTTGCATTAGCCAGGTTTTGCAGGCCGCGTGCTAAATTCGGGATCTGACCTGGTTAAGAGCGTCGTCTGAACAGCACCGGAGCCAACATATCTGCAATATCCATGCCTGGCGGGGGAATTTGCAAAGCGCTTTAGCTGCATAAGGCGCCTGAAAGACGTGGCCTGACTGCCATCTAGTGGCGGCAAGGAGCTTCGCAGCCCAGAAAGAGAAAATTGATCACGACTGCTAACCAGGATGAAACCATGATTAGAGATAATGAAGGGGGCAGAAATCAGGAGGGGAGAAGCGGGCGGGCGTCAAGAAGAGGAGCCTAAAAAAGACAACTCAAGCCACCGCCGAGAAGAGAGAGTCGAAATAAGGGATGGAGGTTTGCAAGCACATTGTTGCTTTTCAACCCAAATCTGGGCTTTTCCACCAGTGTTTCTAATGGGTCTTTTTTTTTTGCTTTAAAACCTAGCTTCTTTCATATATTGCATTCAATAGGTAAACATAATTTGGTTTAAAACTGGCTTATGGTGCTTTTGTTATTTGGGGGTTTGGGATGGCAATCTGGGTTTATTTGCGCGCGACATGTTGATTTCTTAGGACACCCCGCGGCCCACCTTGCTCTCCTCGTCCCGTAGCGCGTTGCACTGGGTGGATCTGGCAAACCACGGCTTTGCGAAATTAATCTCGGTTTCTCCAGCAGCCCTAAACTGGTTTCAGGTCTGCAAGCTGGAGGCGGGGGGCAGAGAAAGCGCGCCTGTTCTGCACCGAGCCGCCGCGCCGCCAGAGGGCGCTGCTGAGTTCGCGCTGGCCGCGCTCGCGGATGACGACATCGAGCGGCGCCTCCGCGCGGAAGGGTGCGAGCCCGTTGCCACGGCAACCGCCGCAGGGCGGCCTACACAACCGGGGGGGCGTTTGTCGCGCCGGGCCTGCCGGGGCCCGTTTTGCCCCCGCCGGGATGTTCGGGGACGCGGCGGGCGGCGCCCTGGACGTGGAGTCGGTGTGGAGGAGGGACCAGGGGGCCCGATGCGAGGAGGTGGGGGCGCCGCTCTGCCCTGCGGGGCGCGGGACTACAGGTCCCATCCTCCCCAGCCGCGGCCCCCGTGGGCGGTGGGGGGCGCTGCTCCGACCCTTCCCCGCTAGACCCTGCGCGCGGGGTGGTGGTGGCGATCGCCCGTCCCCTTCCTTTTGGGCGAGGGGACTACAAGTCCCATCGTGCGTAGCGGCGCAGCGCGGGAGAGGGCGGCCTCCCTTTGGCACGGCAGCCTTTTGCATTGCGAAGGCCGGAGGCGAGCCTTCCCATCGCCCTCGGCTTGCCTTGGCTGTGGATGATGGGCTGTGGTGCCATGCCAGCACAAGGGAAGGGATCTGAGCAGTCAGTGGGTCTTATATGGAGGATACTGGCGATCCTCAGTTGGGGCTGTGGATGATGGGTTTCTATTTGAAAACGGCCAACCTGAGTGGGGGCTGTGGATGATGGGGCTTCTGTTTGGAACGGCCATCCTGAGTGGGGGCTGTGGATGATGGGGCTTCTATTTGGAATGGGCATCCTGATTGGAGGTTATGTATGATGGGGCTTCTATTTGGAATGGGCATCCTGATTGGGGGCTGTGGATGATGGGGCTTCTATTTGGAATGGGCATCCTGATTGGGGCTGTGGATGATGGGACTTCTATTTGAAATGGTCATCTTCGGTAAGGGCTGTGGATGATGGGGCTTCTATTTGGAAATGGCCCGCCTCATTGGGGGCTATGGGTGATGGGCTTCTTATTTGGGAACAGCCATTCTTTCTAGAGCTGTGGATGATGGGGCTTTCATTTGGAACGGCCAGCCTCATTGGGGGTCGTCCATGATGGGGCTTCTATTTGGGACGCCCCTCCTGGCTGGGGGCCGTGGACGATGGGTCTTGCCTTCAGAGGCTCCCCGCCCTCTTTCTTCCCGTAGAAGAGCACCCAGACCGTCCCTGTCCACACGGCTCAACGGCGGACCCAGACCCGCCACTGCCACGAGGTGGGCGTCCAGGCGGACCCCGAGGCCAGCCCGGCCCAGGCCCTGCCCCTCCCGCCGCCTCCCCCGGTGGACTATGCCAGCCTGCGGGCCTTCCTGCAACGGGTGGAGGAGCCGGTCATCCGCGAGCTGGACAAGAACTGGAAGAGCCACGCCTTCGACGGCTTCCAGGTCAACTGGACGGACCCCAACGAGACGGTAACGGCCCCTCCAGAACCGCCGGCTTGGGGGGCTTAGGGGGGATCCCCCCCATCCGGGGACTCCCCTCGTCTTCTCTCCCCAGGCCAAGGGGCCAAAGTCTTTTCCAGCCCGGAGAAATGAGATATAGGATGTCCTTGACTCACAACAGTTCACTTAGTGACTGTTTGGAGTTACGACGGCCCTGAAAAAAGGGACTGAGGACCAATTTTCACGCTTATGACCATTGCAGCATCCCCAGGGTCACGCGATTTACATTTGGGTGCTTGACAACTGATTCACACTTATGATGGTCGTAGTCTCCCGGGGGGGGAGTCAAGCGATCCCCTTTGGCGACCTCCTGGCAAGCAAAGTCAATGGGGAAGCCGGATTCACTTAACGACCGTGTGACTGACTTAACATCCGCAGTGATCCACTTAACAAATGTGGCGAGAAAAGTCGCAAAATGGGGCAAAACTCACTTCACAAATGTCTCACTTTAGCCACATAAATCTTGGGCTCGGTTGTGGTCGTAAGTCGAGGACTCCTTGTAATGTCCATAAGTGGCTCAGCTGACCCTCCCCTGCTTCATGTGAGCATGGGGGGGGGGCAGAAGCTCCAACATAACCAGACTTGTGTGGGGCTGTTATTGCCGCCCATCTCGGCCTTCCGGCGGGACGGATGTCCTGGCCTGGTCCAATGCGCCACGACTGACCGAGGCTTAATCTGCGGGGGCTCCTCTGCCCGGCCCCCTCATCCCCCCCCTCTTCTCCCTTGCAGGTGTCTTGTGCACACAGCTTGTCGTACCCGGAAGCCCAGGAGCGCAACCTGCAGGTGACCGGCGTCTCCTGGAATGCCACAGGCTCCGTCCTCGCCTGCTCCTATGGCAGGTGAGCCGAAAGAGAAGGCAGTCACCTTGCTCATGATTCGTATCTATGTCCCTCTTTCAGTTGTCCCTCTGACGGCTTGCTTGCTTGCTTTTCTCTTTCTTTCTTTCTTTCTCTTTCTTTCTTTCTTTCTTTCTTTCTTTCTTTCTTTCTTTCTTTCTTTCTATTTCTCTTTCTCCCTTCCTTTTTCTTTATCTCTTCCTTTTCTTTTTCTTTTTTTTTCTTTCTTTTCCCTCCCTTCCCTCCCTCCTTCCCTCCCTCTCTCTTTCCTTCTTTTTCTTTTTCTTTTTTTCTCCCTCCCTCCCTCCCTCCCTCCCTTTCCTTTTCTCCCTCTTCTCCATCTTCTCCCTCTTTCTTCCAGACTGGATGATGGAGACTGGAGCGCTGAGAAATCCTTCCTCTGCACCTGGAATCTCGACCGCCGAGCGCTGAATCCCCACCGCCCGGACCTCGTGGTGGAGACCGCCAGCGCCGTCCTGTGCCTGGCTTTCCACCCCCAGCAGCCTTCGCTCGTCGCCGGCAAGTGATTCTTGAGCGAGCTCCCCTTGGGCCCGGACAGGAAGGGGACCAGGGTTGCCCAGGGTACCCGATTCCTCAAACTTCCGGCCAGCTTCTCAATTCTACCTCCCCAGGAGGCCTGTTCAGCGGAGAGGTCCTGATTTGGGACACCGGCAGGCAGGAAGACCCCTTGGTCTGGAGGACGGGCATGACCGACGATACTCACACCGACCCCGTGTATCAGGTACGGGCGGGGGCCAGGGCTGCGGTCCAGCTCCCTTGTGATCTCCTGAGCTAATTGCTCCTCTGGGCCTCAGGTCAGCTGGCACCGGGACCCCCGTCAGCCGCGCACCTTCCGCGTCCTGAGTCTCTCCACCGACGGGAAGATCCTCGTGTGGCAGGAAGAGGGAGGCGGCCTCCTCCGCCCCGCCAGCGGTTTCGCTTTCGTCCAGCAGCAGATTCCCAGAAGCACCAAGCTCAAGAAGGTAGGTGGGGAGGATCCCAACGGAGAGAACCTCCACAGCCTTGTGCAGTCCACCGGAAAGCATCTGACGTCACCTGCGAAGCGTTGGGAAGACACGTTTGCGATCCTAGGCGAGGCCGGCTGGTCGCTTGGATTTGGGAAGATACGCATCCGAGGCTGCTCCTCACGCAGAACGGAGTCTTGCAGGGAGGGATGTTTATTTTAAGTGGATCCTGAGATCGTAATTGTTATCTTTTATTATCTTTTAAGCCCTTTGCAGAGACATATCCGTACGTTGCCGGAACGTCTTAACGGCAGCCGAGCGAGCGTGGAAGGACCAGACAGGGCCCAATCCCCCGTGATTTCCCCAGTGTCTTAATTATCAGTGTTGTGTGTTTTTGCTGCAGTGATGCACAGACTTTTTTTGTCTCCCCTTCTGCTCCCCTCCCCCAGCATTCTCGAGGTGACACAGTGGTGGGCGTCACGTCCCTCTCCTTCTCCCACTTCGAGCCCAGCGTCTTCGTCAGCGGCACAGAGGGCGGCAGTTTGATGAAGTGCTCCACGGCGGTGGACACAGCCGCCCTCTTGCGGAAGGCCAGCTCGGTCCCTCTCCGGGCCCCTGCCCAGTTCAGTTTCTCCTCCCACGGAGGACCCATTTACAGCGTGAGCTGCTCACCTTTCCACAGGTAAGGCTGTCCCGAAATCTTCCGGAAAGATTTTCCAAGAACCGACACAACAATATTGCAACCTTGGGTGCGTTTCTGCCTGTCTGCCATCTCAGTATGGTGGTTTGTAAGCCGGGGATTATAATTTACCGTGTCGTAGTACTCCAGGCAAACGTGGTTTAGAGCAGCAGGTAGCCCTGCTTGGGCTTTTTTTTTTAAACCGCTTCTACAGGTGTCTTTTTGAGTGAAAGGGAAGGATACATGTGTCTTAAGAGTAACAACAAACCTGGGTTTGAAGCGTAGCCACGGCACAAGGTTCCTCTTGATCCAAGACCGTTTGGTCTGTGATTCTGGGCCGTAAAAACTTTTGTCAGTTTCATTTTAGTTCTTTTTAATGTGCAGTGCGCCTTATGAATTATGGGTGCTTGTAGAATAGGGGGAATTCCAGGCGAGGGGTAAATTGAGTCGGCTATAAATTAGAATAACAGAGTTGGAAGGGACCTTGTAGGTCATCTAGTCCAACCCCCTCTTCAAGCAGGAGACCCTGCACCATTTCTGACAGATGGCAGTCCAGTTCTCTTCTTGAAAGCTTCCGGTGATGAAGCTCCCACATCTTCTGAATGCTACTCTCTCCTTGGATTTTGGATTTGCTAACCTAAAGCTGCTTCCCCTTTTTTTTCCTTTCCCCTCCCCAAGGAATCTGTTCCTGAGCGGCGGGACCGATGGACACGTTCATTTACACTCCATGCTGCAAGCGCGCCCGCTGCTTTCCCTCCAGTTGTCCAAGAAATACATTTTCAGCGTCAGGTGGTCCCCCGTCCGGCCCCTGGTTTTCGCGGCTGCTTCTGGGGAAGGTAACAGTTGCTTTAGCTAGCTGTGGGGAGGGGGTCTGGACAGGGGTTTTATTTTATTTGCCAGCTGGCTCAGCTCATCTGGGTGGGGGTAGCAAGTTTGGTGCTTAACCCATCATTTTTCTTACTCGCCGTAAGATTTCGACAGTCTGGGATTGTCCCTGCTTTTCAGCAAATCTACTTAATTTCATTCTCTTGCGAAACTGCAGTGATTTTAAGTTTTGGTGCCGGCCCTGGATAATCGGAGGAGGAAAAAGCAAGACTGTAAAAGGTTTGTGTTGTGGAACCCATCATTGTTTTTATCTTTTTGGCTCGTTTCCCAGGGGACGTGCAGCTTTTCGACTTTGCAAAGAGCTCGCAAAAGCCCTCGGTTTCTGTCAGGCAGACGTCTGGCCAGGCCCCCGTCTACTGTTTGGAGTTCAATCCTCGGCAGGCTCAGCTCCTTGCCGCCGGAGACGGCAGCGGGACGGTGAAGGTCTGGCAGCTGAGTTCGGATTTCACCGAAGAGGGCCCGCGGGAGATGAGCCATCTCGATCAGCTAGCAAACGAGGTCACCGATTAACACACACCCAGCAACGAACGGGGTCACCGATCAACACACGCCCAGCAACGAACGGGGTCACCGATCAACACACGCCCAGCAACGGTGTGTCTCGGCGAACAGATGCTTAAAAGACAGTCCTTTGTTCACGCAACTATTTTCACACAAGGACAGCACAGGGTGTAAGGGAGAGGGCTGTAAATAAATCCCAAGTAAAAGCACATCTCCAAGTGGCGTCCTTTTTAAGATTGCACGGCTTAAGCGAGGGGGACTTTGCGTTGTGTTGACGGGAGATTTCTCCATGCGCTAGAGGCGTGAAACAAGGGTTCAATTCAGACTAGCAACTTTTATTGAAGCACACACCGTGACATATTTTTGTGTTTTGTTTGTTTCCTTCTAAGCGAAGCGGGTTTTTTTAAAGGTTACACTGGGGATTATTTTCGAGTGACGAGAGGAGGGGAGACATGCAAAGAGCGAAGAGGCCGAAGAAGACGCGAGCGCATTCTCGGGATCCCGGGGGGAGGGAAGAGAGGCAGGGGGAGGCGAGCGCCGGGAATCAATTCACGAAGAGGGAGCGTGTGAATTCGATGTAGTCGTAGGCGGAGGGAAGCTCTCGGCCTTTGCTGTCCATGTAGGGCTTCATGTGCGAGATGCAGTAATCCGCCTGCTCCCGGCTCAGGTTCTGAAAGGCGAGAAAAGGTTGGGGGGTCAGAAAGTCAAAGGGGGGAGAGAGAAATCCTTTGGGGTTTGAATTCAGACAACCCAATTATCGGCATGCGTGAGACTGATCGGGGTAGATTGTAGGGGTGATAGTGAAATACAATTTTATCCTATTTTAATAATAATAATAATAATAATAATAATAATAATAATAATAAAAAATAATAATAAATAAAATAATAATAATAAAGTTGGAAGGGACCTTGGAGGTCATCTAGTCCAACCCCCTGCTCAGGCAGGAAACCCTACACCATTTCGGACAAATGGCTGCCCAGTCTCTTCTTAAAAACTTCCAGTGTTGGAGCATTCACCGCTTCTGGAGGCAGGTAGTTCCACTGGTTACTTGTTCTCACTGTCAGGAAGTTTCTCCTTAGTTCTAGGTTGCTTCTCTCCTTGATTTTATCTACCTACATCTTAAAATCGCCGTACTTGATTCGAGTTTCATTTTTAAAAATGCATTTTATCCCAGTTTCATTTTAATCGTATTTTATTTATTTTATTTCATTTCTATTTTATTCCATTCTAAATTGTTTTTAACTGCATTGTAGTATAACGTGTGTTTGGAACGCTGTACCTTGACGTGGCCCACGGGCTAATCAATAAAGGGATCAAAAGGATTAAAAGGACAGCCCAGTTCCTGCCTGCCTGCCTGGGTAGAAAACGCCAAGCCTCTTCAAGCAGGACGAAGGAACATTAAGCGCCGAAACGCTCCTTCTCCTGGAGCTGACAGGATCAGAAAGGGTTTCACCCACTCGGTGACCTGTTCCCACTATCTTATTCGGGGTTTTCTCTCACCATTTCTGGGGTGGGCCTCTTTTGCTCTTGTGCTACAGCTACAAAATTATCTGCCTTGCGTGGGGCTTCCAGCAAATTAAAATGACATCGAGGGGGCAGAAAGCACCTCCATTCCTGGAGCACGGCGGTCAACGTTATAAACTAGTCACACGACAATTTGAGGGTGCACCCAGGCAGTCCTCCACTTAGGACGGCTGAGCCCCAAATGTCCTGTTGTTAAGCGAGACCTATGTTAAGCGACTTTCGCCCCGTTTTTACGGCCTTCCTTGCCAACGTCGTTAAGCGAATCGCCGCAGTTGATACGTTAGTAACCCGGTGATTGGCTTTGCTTGTCAGGAGGTCGCAAAAAGGGAATCACGTGATCGTGGGACACGGCAACGGCCGTAAGTACGAACCAGTTGCCCAGCGTCTGAATTTTGATCACATGATCGGGTGGATGCTTCGAAGGTAACTGTGAAAAACGGTCATCGGTCACTTTTTTCAGTGCCGTTGCAATTTTGGCCACTAAATGAAGTGGGCTACCTTAGTAGAGTCTAAACCCCCCCAAATCAGCTTCCCTTACTTGGTAAAGTTCTTCCTTGGTCACGTAGGGCTTGCCCTCCGAGCTGAGGGCGCGGAAAGCGCTCTCGATCTCCTCGCTGGACTTCACGTTCTCCGTCTCCCTGCTGATCATGAAGGCCATGTACTCTTGCAGGGAGACGTGTCCATCCCTGCGGGAAGGGGAAAAAAAAAAGAGCGTTGGAGGTGACCAGAGAGGGAATTCTGGGAGTTGAAGTCCACCCACCTTACAGTTCCCATCTTGAGAAATGCTGTCGTAGAGCATTGTGGGTGAAAAAAAAAAAAGACACAAGGGCGTCCTTCTGAACGCTCTTACCGGTTGGGATCGACCGTGTCGAGAATAGCCTCGAATTCCGGGTCTGGTTCTCCCTCCTCCACCATGGGCAGGTCGTAACCCAGAGAGCGCAAGCAGGACTTAAATTCCTGGTGGTTCAGACGGCCCGATTTATCCTTGTCAAAGTGCCTAGAATGAGGGAAAAGCCGCTTTTAAACTTTTATCGGCTATACTTTTTCTTCCAGGTAGGACAGAGGTCCCCAAACCTTTCGGGCACCAGGGACCGGTTCCGCGGAGCGAGGTTTTCCCGTGGACCGGAGGGCGCGTGCGGTTTTGTGTGCTGCCTGCATCCCGCGGATGGGGCTTTTGCTTTTGTTTGTGAGGCCCGGTTGCTGGCATGCCGTGGCCCGGTGCCGGTCCGCGGATCGGGGTTTGGGGGTCCCTGAGACAAGCTATGAAGGGATCTCCAAATGTTGCTTCGATACACAGAAAGATGCCGGGATTTGGATAGGCTCACCTACCTAATCAGACTGCAGCTAGCTAAGAGGTGCTGCCTCTTCCCAGCTTAAAACTGGCTCAAGTTTTTTAAAAAAAAGGCCTTTAGGGGTTTGGCACCCAGGAGAAGAAGGTGTGCAGGCCAGGATCCCCCCCCTAAAAATCACTGCAAAACTCACTTAAACATCATGCTGAATTCCTTCAGAGCTTCTTCGGTGACACCAGTGGTGTTTCTGAAAAAAACAGAGAAATGCGTTCACTCTCAGAAAATCGGGACGGGGCGAAATCTCCTCGTTCCCAAAGTGCAGAGAGTTTCTGCCTCTTTGACTTAAATCTGTTGCACCAATATGGTGGTTTGGGGACCATTTTTCAGTTGGCTGGAGGAAAATAAACCTGAGAGATGTTTTTTTTCCCCCCCACCCTCTTAAGGGGAAAATACACTTTGCAGGTTTAAGTGTTGTTTGGAATTGGATTACAAACTTTAATGAACTGTCAGGAACTCCCCAGCTGACCCGCTTCCCACCCAACCATTTCCTGCAAAGCTAAGCCCCCATCCCAGGCTGGGCTGCTCCCCCCCCACCTGGCCTGTATCTGCTGCTCCAGGTTGTGCTGCATCCTCATGCCGAGCTGATCCAGCTGGTCCCACTGTTGTGCCAGCCCCACGGTGCTGTGCTCAGTGTACTTGTTGTCCAAAATCAGCGCCTCCTCCATGGCTGCTCCGAGGTCTTCGATTTTCTTCAGCTGGCTCCTCATGGCCCGGATCTCCTGGTGTTTGCGCTGAAAGGGAAGGAGGAGGACCGTGCACAAGCCTGCACACACACACACACACACACTGAGACATCCTCCCCAAGAGTAGCAAAGGCCTGGAGGGAACACCCTCTCCTCTCCAACGGCTGCAGCCCACTTGGTTTAACCCCTGGCTATGAATTGACAAAGATTAACCTGGAGCTTCCTATGATTTATAACCTATTTGTTTAGTGACCGTTCAAGGTTAAAACGGCACTGAAAAAAAGACCTTTTCCCTGCTTAACGACCGTTGTGGCATCCCCACGGTCAAGTGATCAAAATTCAGACCCTTGGCAACTGGCTCATATTTACGACGGCTTGCGGCGTTTCCGGGGTCACGTGATCCCCTTCTGGGACCATCAACAAGCAAAGTCAATGGGGGAAGCAGACTCACACTCAATGACGGTGGCAAGGTCGTAAAAATGGGGCAAAATGCACTTAACGACCGTCGTGCTTAACAACAGTTGTTTTTGGCCCAGTGGTGATCGTAAGGCAAGGACTCCCTCTACACCAGGGGTCTTCAAACTTGGCCCTTTTATGACTCGGGGACTGCAACTCCCAGAATTCCTCAGCCAGCATGGGGGAACTATGCCCCCCTTCATGACTTGTGGACTTCAACTCCCAGAATTCCTCAGCCACCATGGGGGAACTATGGCCCCCTTCATGACTTGCGGACTTCAACTCCCAGAATTCCTGAGCCAGCATGGGGAAAACTATGGCCCCTTCATGACTTGCGGACTTCAACTCCCAGAATTCCTCAGCCACCATGGGGGAACTATGGCCCCTTGATGGCTTGCGGACTTCAACTCCCAGAATTCCTCAGCCAGCATGGGGAAAACTATGGCCCCTTCATGGCTTGCGGACTTCAACTCCCAGAATTCCTCAGCCAGCATGGGGAAAACTATGGCCCCTTCATGACTTGTGGACTTCAACTCACAAAATTCCTCAGCCAGCATGCCTGGCTGAGGAATTCTGGGAGTTGAAGCCCACGAGTCATAAAAGGGTGATAATTCCCTCACGCTGGCTGAGGAATTCTGGGAGTTGAAGTCCAGAAGTCATCAAAGGGCCAGATTTGAAGACTCCCTGCTCTACACAATTTGTTGAATCTCTTGGAACAAAATTAGGAAATAAATTCCAGGTTAAACAGGTGCTCTGTTCCTCTTGCTTGAAATTATCTCAGCGCTGATGGGAATCTCCCCTCCCCCATGTTTTGTTCCATCAAAATACACACCTTGGTGGCTTCCAGCTGAGACTCCAGAGTGCCGGATTCTTCCACCATGCAGGACCTAAAGAAAGATTTGGCATCAGAGAGAGGGTCTTCAGCCAGTCCAAGAAATGGGGCTCGTAATTAACACCCTCGCCTCTATTACGGGTGGGTCCATTTAGCTTAATCAAGGCACTGATATACCGAGAAGCAGTGTGGTACAATGGTTGCAGGCACCAGCCTAGAGAACGTGACTTCTAGTCTTACTTTAGGCACGAAACCAACTCCTAAGCAGATCTGGATTGTTTAAAAAATGATTTTTTTAAAAACAAGAAAGCCCACACGGAATGAAGCCATACAAACACACACACACGCGCGCACACACCACCCTCCGTGGTGTTTTTCACAGGAGAAAATTTAGATCCGTACAGACCAGCTTTTGCAACACTTAATAATGTAATCAAATTCACGTACTGTCCATCTGAATGTTTAAGTGTCTCTTGAGCGGTTTACAAATAAAAACATATAAAATCCAGTTAATGTCTTTCATCTTGATATCAAGTCTCAAGGAGGGTATGGTGAAGACCCCTAGCAGAAGCTGTGTCTGATTACTGTGCATGAGTACCCCTGCAGATAGATGCACCACAATCCAGATTGTGCACGCCTATCCCTGCAGATAAATGCACCACGCAATCTAGATTGCGCACGCGTATCCCTGCAGATAAATGCACCACACAATCCAGATTGCACACGCCTATCCCTGCAGATAAATGCCCCACAATCCAGATTGTGCACGTGTATCCCTGCAGATAAATGAACTACACAATCCAGATTGTGCACGCATATCCCTGAAGATAAATGTACCACGCAATCTAGATTGTGCACGCGTATCCCTGCAGATAAATGCACCACACAATCCAGATTGTGCACCTGTATCCTGCAGATAAATGCACCACAATCCAGATTGTGCATGCCTATCCCTGCAGATAAATGTACCACGCAATCTAGATTGTGCATGCGTATCCCTGCAGATAAATGCACTACACAATGCAGATTGTGCACGCGTATCCCTGCAGATAAATGCCCCCCACAATCCAGATTGTGCACGCGTATCCCTGCAGATAAATGCCCCTCACAATCTAGACTGTGCACCTGTATCCCTGCAGATAAATGCACCACAATTTAGAAATCTGATCTTGCAATGAGAGTGACATAACCAATTTCTCTTTTCTAATGGTTTCCCACTCTCTATATGAATAAAAGGTTGAGGTTGGAGCAGGCTATCTCATAAATACAGGAAAGAGGCTTTTCAGAACCCAATTCTGGTCTGGACCTTTGGGCAACTGGGCAGGGGGGGCTGGATGAGAAGACCTCCAAAGTCCCTTCCAAGCCTAGGACTCTATGGCTAATTTCAAGCCCCATTTCACGAACCAAGTTAAGGGCAGCGAAAAAACAACAAACACATTCATGCAAGTTCTAAAGCGCCGGTTTCTTGATGGTCCCGAGGGAAAGGGGGGGGGGTTCTCCCTGCAGAGCGTCCTCAGCCATCAGATGGAAGCCTGACACACACACACACAAGCCGTGAGTAAAGTCGCTTGAGATGAGCGGTGCTCGGTCAACGAGAGGGACGAGACTCGAGCGAGGTTTTGCACAGCGTGATAGCGATGGGAAACTTTCGCACAAAGGACCGGCTCCCTTTGCACGCCCCCTGCGTGTGTGGGGCAGGAGCTTTTCAAGCAAAGAAAAAAAACAACACAAAATGCTTTGGCATCGGAGATGCAACCGGTCAGGGCTCTTTTTAAAGTGATCCAAAATGATCCATCTACCGGTGTGTCCTCTACTGTAAGGTAAGGATGCTTCTTCCACCCACCCTGCAAACGCCTAATAAAGAAATAAATGCACGGCTCGGTTTTAAAACTTTGGAAATGAACTGAAGCCAAAATTAGCAGGGAAGGGGGGGAGGGGAGGAAATCTCAAAATCCAGATTAAACCCCAACTTGGCAGATGGACAAGGTCCCAGGGAAGCAAGTTTTGGTTCACTTTGAAGTTCAGAGCTCTGCCCCCAAACATTTGCAGTGGGGAAAATAATAATAATAATAATAAACCACAACGGACACTCGGTGCACACAAAAACACACATCTCGGCTACTGTGTGGGCGAGCTTCACTTTCTCGTGGCCCCTGTGAAGTGGAGAGGAATTGGATGGGGGGGGAATCAGCTGGCTCACCCCCCAACAGTACTTTGCCCCCTTCTGCAATTTGGGGGCAGGTTTTTTTTTCATTTTTTGCTGGGGTGGTAAAATTCCCGGGTGCTTAAGAAAGGATGCTCTTTTTTTTTTTTAAACAGGTGAGTCTCGGCAAGGGGTGTTAAGTGTCATCATCAGCGTGGCAGGTAAGTGATCACAAAGCAGTTACGTGGCCTGTGTCAAGGGGAGGGGGTGTTAAGGGGGAGCCCCCCCCTCCCACAATCCACCCGCCTTTCTCCCCGCCAAGAATATCTCACAGTAGTTGATCGGTTAGTTCGAAAAAAAAAAAAAAATTAAAGAAAAGAGAAGAAAGGAAGCTGAGCCTCGGGAATTAGGAGTGTGCCGTTAAAAATAAAAATAAATGAAAATAAATAAATAAATAAATAAAAAACACAGCGAGGTAAGAAAAAGGAGAAAAACCTTCCAGACAGATCATCCCCAACTTCATACTGATAGACGCGAACGACACGACGGTAGGCTATGCTATTCAAAGGAAAGAAACGGTGTGAAATTCCAAAACAGGAGAAGGGAAAACATGGAAAGAAGCCCACACACACACACACACACACACACACACACACGCACACACGTGGCAAGGGGACACGTGGCTTATAACTCTTGCCCAAGATCAATACTCAAGTGGTTTTTTTTAAGACGTAAATCTATTTCAGCTTCTCCTCTCAGGATGCCACTAAAGAGCGCTGCATGCCCAAACGACCAGACATAAAGGTAGTTTTTTTCCCCCCCATGCCATCATTTTGCTGAATGCTCAGTTCTGTTGTCTCATTTCTCATCTTTTCTCAACTTTCCTACGGTCTTCTCCTATTTGGTTTCTTAGGATTTATCAATTGTTGTTTGTAACTTATGACTGATGGCTATAACTATGATTTATGACCTGTACTTTGTTGTTTGCATGTACATTGTTTGCATATACACCGGATATAAATTCCTTGTGTGTCTGATCACACTTGGCCAATAAAGAATTCTGAATATTCTATTCTATTCTATTCTATTCTATTCTATTCTATTCTATTCTATTCTATTCTATTCTATTCTTCTCCTGTTCTATTCTATTCTATTCTGTTCCTTAATTCTATTCTGTCCTATTCTATTTCATATTCTATTCTATTCCTTAATTCTATTCTGTTCTATTCCTTAATTCTATTCTGTTCTATTCTATTTCATATTCTATTCTGTTCTATTCGTTAATTCTATTCTGTTCTATTCCTTAATTCTATTCTATTTCATATTCTATTCCTTAATTCTATTGTTCTATTCCTTAATTCTATTCTATTCTATTCTATTCTATCCTTTTCCTATTCTATTCTATTTCTTATTCTATTCTATTCTATTCCTTATTCTATTCTATTCTATTTCTTATTCTATTCTATTCTTCCTTATTCTATTCTATTCTATTCTATTCTATTCCTTATTCTATTCTATTCCTTATTCTATTCTATTCTATTCTATTCTATTCCTTATTCTATTCTATTCCTTATTCTATTCTATTCTATTCTTCTATTCTATTCCTTATTCTATTCTATTATTCTATTCTATTCTATTCCTTATTCTATTCTATTATTCTATTCTATTCCTTATTCTATTCTATTCTATTCTATTCCTTATTCTATTCTATTATTCTATTATTCTATTATTCTATTCTATTCTATTCTATTCTATTCTATTCTATTCCATTCCATTCTATTCCTTATTCTATTCTATTCTATTCTATTCTATTCTATTCTATGCTATGCTATGCTATGCTATGCTATGCTATGCTATTCTACTCTGTATTCTATTCTGTTCTGTTCTAGTCTATATTCTATTCTTTTTAAAAAAAATATAGGCAATCACCGTGTGTCCGCTTGAAGATGTTTCTCTTCTTGTGCCCACACATTTAATCTAGCAGGTAGCAGGTCTTTGCAGCCGCTTCCTACTAATCTATGGGGTGGTTTCCAGTCAGAAACAAACGGGGCTGTTTGCACTGCCAATTCTCCCAAACATCTCTGCAGCACTAAATTCTGAATTCTTGCCTGGTCCAGCTATCTGCTGTTTTGAACCGGAGAAGCTAAGTCTTATCTTGCATGCATGTAGGTTGTCCTTTTGTCTCTGAGCGGATTAAGATTTAAGGGACAGCCACACGCATTCTTTCTTTCATGGGTGTGCGAGGGAGAGAAAGGGGGGGGGGAACAGATAACACAACAAGAAAGGTATATAATAACCAAGTCGCAATTTGGCCGTTTGGTTGTTGAGTCTGCGCTCGTCTACTCTCCCCATCCGTTTCCTCCAGTTCTCGTAATCTGAAATGAGTTTTCCAATTCTGGTTTGGAGGCAAACCATGGCTTGTACTTCTAGGAGAAGCAGCTCAACAATCAAGTGCCAAAGGCCAAATATCTCTGGGGCATCCGAAGCAGGTTTGGTCAAAATGCAATGCAAGTACGACAGAGGATAAAAAGGGCTTCTTTTTTCACATCCTCAACGGGCAAGCGAGGACCAACTCCTTAACATGGGAAGCACAAGGAGTTAGGGTGTCTTTATTTCCACGGTGGCAAAAAAAGGGAATAAATGACTGAAGAGTCAAACCCCACCACCCCTGTAGCAGATGGGTAAACTGGTCAGGACAACGGAGAGGCAGGAAAAATGAACCCTGGAATCAGGTGATATTGGATCCCCCTCAAAATGCTTGGTTTGACGTCTACTAGCAGAGCCCAGACAAGGAGTCAAGTCTCCCGTAGGGAGATGGGAGGTCCTCAGTTGATCAAGAGGTATAAGATGGAGGAAGGAAGCTCACGCTGGCAAGCTGGAGCTCAAGGGAGTACGATAGATCAACAAAGAACACTGTGCCACTATGGTGGACAAGAAAGCTTGTTTGTGTGCATGTGCGGAGAGGGGAACTTGAGGCCTGTTTTTCAGGGCCTCGGAACTAACCCCAAATCTTGGACAAGGCCTCCCGCAGAGTCCAGACATCAGTGCCCAAACTGGGTGAACTCTGCGAACACAGTTGCCTCAAGCACAGTCATGGCACGAAGAAGAAGCGAGAGCGGTTTGGGAAGAAAAGGGGGAAATTTATACTAACCCATCGAGCAGGTAGGTTCTGTAGAGCGGGACCGTTCGAACGTGGCGCCACGGGAGGAAAAACCAAGGAACGGGAGAGCAAGGAGGAAGTAAAAAACAAAACAAAAACAAAACACAGACGTTAGAAAAAGCAGACACGGTCTAACAATCCAGCATTTGGGAACTCTGATCTCACTCCCCAGTTCAGATTCTATCCCTCCTCCGATAATGCCCCGTGACAGGTAGTCCTCGAACGTACGGCCACAAGGGAGCCCAGCGTTTCTGTGGCTCAGTGAGAAATGCGTTAAGTGACCTTGGCTCCAATGTACAAACTCTCTTGTCGAAGTTGTTAAGGGGAACCACTGCGGCTGGAAAGTCGGTTACGCCGTCGTTAAGCGAACCTGGCTTCCCCATTAAGGGGATCGCGTGACCCCGGGACACTGTGCGACCGTCATAAACACAAATCAGTTGCCAGGCGCCTGCATTTGGATCATGTGACCAGGGCTGCAATGGTTGGGTGAAAAACAGTCGTCAGTCTCTTTTTTTCCCCCAGTGCTGTTGTAACTCTGGAGTGGTCACTAAACGAACCGTAGTGACGTTGAGGACGACCTGTATTGGATTGGGCAATTTAGCCTGAAAAAAAATCTAAACGAGAGGAATGTTTGTTTTTTTAACGATGCCCCTAACTGTTTTGGAGGTTCTGAAGATGATCAGCGAAGTACTAAGGAAGAAGTTTCATATTTAGGAGAAAAGTTACCAGCAACCTCTTCCCTTAAGAAAAGTAAGATGTCTCAAGAAGAAGCAGAGACTGAAAATCTTACATTGAGCTATAAGTGTCTGTGGAGATTCTCAAGTCATCCAGGTGATGGTTGTCCCAAAGATGCTTTATTTACGAGGCCACTGGACTTTCTCGTATTTCTTTGAAGACGTTTCGCTTCTCATCTTCTTCAGCTCTGACTGGATGGTGGGGGAATGGAAGGATTTATACTCCTTGCAGACCACTGGTCATTTGCCTTCTTTTAGAGGGTCATTGAGGCCACTTGGAGGCTTCTCTGTGTCCTCAGGGTCACCTGAGTGGTGCAAGTGGGTGTGGAGCCTTCTTGGAGCTGCTGAAAGGACTGTGTTCAGAGGGGGAGGGATACAGCATCATCTAACTCTAGTCTATAAAATAGTTCTTTCAGTAGTTCCAAGAAGGCTCCACGCCCATTTGCACCACTCAAGTGACCCTCCAAATGGCTTCAACGACTCTCTAAAAGAAGGCAAATGACCAGCAGTCTGCAAGGAGTATAAATCCTTCCATTTCCCCACCCTCCAGTCAGAGCTGAAGAAGCTTCTGGGATGAGAAGGGAAACATCCTCAAAGGAAAAACAAGGAAATCCAGTGGCCTCGTAAATAAAAGCATCTTTGGGACTGAGCTACAAGGTGTTCCTTTGGCCTAGTGTGTTGTGCGAACGAGTCACCAAGGCCTGTAAATTCTTGGTTTCAGGCTTAGCGTGACGGGCAAGCCCAGCTGAATTAACTCAACAAGCCATGGCTGGATATCTTAAGCCCAGCCAGCCCTGCAGGCAGCACCTGGTCTCCTGAATCCACTGGTGGAAGGCGTTGGCGTGCTGAGCAAACTCCTGCCGCAGTTTATCGTTCTCCTCCTGCCTGCGTTGCTCTTTCTGAAGCTCCAATTCCCGTTCCTGGGGAAAAAAAAAAGGAGAGGGGAGCCATGGTTAACCCTTTGCGAGATTCCTGAAGGAAGATCCCCTCCCAGGCAGGCAGGCAGGCGCCCACGAAGGACATCGGGAAGGGATAAACCTTGATTATCTTCTGCAGGTTCCTCCAGGTCTCCTCCAGGGCTTCCATCGTGAACCAGGTGTAAGGGTTGGAGGCCACGCGGAAGCTCTTGATCTGTCGGTCAAGCTCGGCCAGCTGATTGAAGTCGGCCTGGGCGGAGCTGAGCGAGGACCGGAAGGCGTCGTGAGCTTCTCGCAATGCCTTGATCTCTTCCAGGGAGTTGCAGCGCACGGGGTCGGTCAGATCCTCTTCGGCGTTCTCGAACCAGCTGTTGAAGGCCGAGGCTTTCTTGGCAAAGGTCAGGAAGAGGTCCTCCACCTGGAGAAGAAGACAACCCTCAAACCTCTGCCAGGGATCAGAGGGGAGCAGCTAAGGATCCAGCTCCCCCCGTGCTGGATTTGTAAAAGGAACGTGTAGAGACAAGACTTACTGAAAGCTAAATCTTATTTTAAGAAGGTTTTTAAGAAGAGACTGGACAGCCACCTGTCTGGAATGGTCAAGGGTCTCCTGCTTGAGCAGGGGGTTGGACTAGAAGACCTCCAAGGTCCCTTCCAGTTCTATTCTGATTGATTGATTGATTGAAATGGTCTAGGGTCTCAACTAGAAGACCTCCAAGAACCCTTCCAACTCTATTGTGATTGATTGATTGATTGATTGATTGATTGATTGATTGATATGGTCTAGGGTCCTGTTTGAGCAGGGGGTGGACTAGAAGACCTCCAAAGTCCCTTCCAGTTCTATTCTGATTGATTGATTGACTGATTGATTGAAATGGTCTAGGGTCTCAACTAGAAGACCTCCAAGAACCCTTCCAACTCTATTGTGATTGATTGATTGAAATGGTCTAGGGGTCTCCTGCTTGAGCAGGGGGTTGGACTAGAAGACCTCCAAGGTCCCTTTCAGCTCTATTGTGATTGATTGATTGATTGATTGATTGATTGATTGATTGATTGAAATGGTCTAGAGTCTCCTGCTTGAGCAGGGGGTTGGACTAGAAGACCTCCAAGGTCCCTTTCAGCTCTATTGCGATTGATTGATTGATTGATTGATTGATTGATTGATTGAAATGGTCTAGGGTCTCCTGCTTGAGCAGGGGGTTGGGCTAGAAGACCTCCAAAGTCCCCTCTAGCTCTATTCTGATTTGAGTTATTAAACCTGAAGCTTCCTTAAGTTCAATCTCCCTGAGCCTTTTGCCCACTTTGGCTTGGCCAAGGGAGATTTTTTTTAAAGACTCTCTGGCGAAGCTGAAGGGCCGATTCGGCTTTCCTCACCTTTCTGAAATGTTCCTGGGCCTCCAAGAGTTTTTTCTTCCGGGCAGCCGAGTTGGCCAGCAGCTGGTTCCAGCGCTTCATGAGCGAGGCGTGGCGAGCCTCGATGGCTTTCGACTGGACGTGCTTGGCGGCCAGCAGCTGGTCTTTCAGGGTGGTGATGTTGGCGATGCCTTCCTGGGCGAAGGCGTGGAGACCCGCATCGAAGGTTTCCTGGAACGGGAGGAGGAGGAGGAGGGAGGTGAAGGCTTGGCCCACGGAAAGGAAGACCGAGGCAACCTGGCCTTCAGCCAAATAGCCCCCCCTCCCTCCCTTCGTGGCCACACACCTGCTTGGTGAGGAGGGTCTGCACCGAAGAGAGGTCTCGCCCGTAGTCGTCTGTCTTCAGGCTGTTTTCTTTCTCGCCTAGGAGATTGGTACTTTATTTGTATCCCACTTTTATTATTATTATTTTTTACAAATAACTCAAGGTGGCGAATGTCTCCAATATACCTTCTTCCGCCTGTTTTCCCCACCACCCAGCTTTCATGGCGGAGGTGGGACTAGAACTCACCATCTCCTGGTGACTGGCCCAAAGAAATCCAGCTGGCTTTCATGGTTAAGATGGGGCTAGAACTCAGTCTCCTGCTTTTTTGTGCCAGCTGTCAATAGGTTTGTTTTCATATCCCACCTTTCTCTTTCTTTCTTTCTTTCTTTCTTTCTTTTTCTTTCCTTCTTTCTTTTTCTCTTTCCTTTCTATCTATCTTTGTCTGTCTGTCTGTCTGTCTATCTATCTCTACATCACTTTCTATTTATCTATCTCTAGCTACATCACTCTACCTCCCTCCCTCCATCTCTATTTACCTCCCTCTCTCATCTATCTATCTATCTATCTATCTATCTATCTATCTATCTATCTATCTATCTATCTATCTATCTATCTATCTATCTATCTATCTATCTATCTATCTCTATCTACATCATTTTCTCATCTATTTATCTATCTCTATCTACACTCTATCTACCTCCATCTCTATTTACCTACCCCTCATCCATCCATCCATCCATCCATCCATCCATCCATCCATCCATCCATCCATCCATCCATCCATCCATCCATCCATCCATCCATCTATCTATCTATCTCTGTCCATCTATCTGTCTGTCTGTCTGTCTGTCTGTCTGTCTGTCTGTCTGTCTGTCTGTCTATCTATCCATCCATCCATCCCTCCCTCCCTCCCTCCCTCCCCCCATTGGGGATTCTAAGCGTTGCCACCCCTCGCCCAGGTCTCTCTCTCTCTCTGTCTGTTTTGGAACGTGGCCCTCCCTCCCTCCCTCTCTCTCTCACCTATCCATGATTCCACCACGTCTGCTTTCCAGTTGAACTGGAGGAAAGCGGAGTTCTCATCCAACTTGGCCTTCCTCTGAGAGGCCGCCCTCTCCAGATCGGACACTTTGCCCTTCAGGCTCTTCATCTTGGCGGTGATGTTCTCCTCGTGGTGGTTGTTCTAGAGGGAAAGGAGGAGAAACGTGGCCCAAAGCCGTTACCTAGCTTTCTGGACCTTTGTGGAAATCCGTTACCCAGAAAAAAAGTGGTACCCAATAAAAAAAAAAAGCTAGATTTGGCAGGGTGTAGAAAGGGATGGGCGAGGAAAAAGCCTACATGACTTGGCAGGGGGACAGGAAGTGCAATGCATTGATTTTTTGGGTGCACTCTGAGCTTGGAGACGTTTCATTACCCAACTAGGTGACATCATCAGTGCTAAAAGGGAGAGGGGTTTGTGGAGAGGAGGAGGAGGAGGAAGAGGAAGAGAAGGAGGAGAGTGTGTCCTTGGTGCTCTCTGAACTTGGTTATTTTCTTGGAGATGTTTCATTACCCAACTAGGTGACATCATCAGTGCTAGAAGGGAGTGGGGTTTGTGGAGTGAAAGAGGAAGAGGAGTGGAGAAGGAGAAGGGAGAAGGAGGAGGACTGTGGGGTGCTTGGCGTTCTCTGAGCTTGGTTCTTTTTCTTGGAGACGTTTCATTCCCCAACGAGGTAACATCTTTTAAGCGGGAAGCTCCCAGCCACAAGTGTCACCTCTGATCTTGGCAGGAGCGACTTCCACACAGCCTTTGCCCTTATCTTGGCCCGCAAGAAGCAGGGATGGTGAGTCCACCAAGGTCCTGTTGAGTCCCTCTCACCTTCTGGATCAGGTCCTCGCCATTGGCACAGACGTCGTTCACCCGGTCCTTGTGCACGGTGAAATCCGTCTCGAACGCTTCGTGTTTCTTCAGCAGGCCCTGCAAAGAGAGGAACGAAGGAAGAAAGAAGTGACCAAGACTGAACCAGAATAGAATAATAGAATAGAATAGAATAGAATAGAATAGAATAGAATAGAATAGAATAGAATAGAATAGAGTAGAGTAGAGTAGAGTAGAGTAGAGTAGAGTAGAGTAGAGTAGAATATAGAAAATGGAATGGAATGGAATGGAATAGAATAGAATAGAATAGAATAGAATGTGGAGTGGAGTGGAGTGGAGTGGAGTGGAGTGGAGTGGAGTAGAGTAGAGTAGAGTAGGAGTAGAATACAGAATGGAATATGGAATAGAACAGAATAAACAATCACAACAGACTTGGAAGGGACCTTGTAGATCATCTAGTCCAACTCCAAGGCAGGAGACCCTACAAATCCACAATCCCACCGCTGCAGGACACTCACCTGGGGCTGCCCCGACAAATCTGGCCTTCCTTGCTCACCTGTATGGCTGCGAGGGTGTCTCCGTAGTCCTCACTGGCCACCAGAGTCATCTTCTCGTTAATCCAGGACTCTTCTTCCTCCACGTTGGCCACAAACTGTTGATATTCGAGAGACTCCTCAAGCCGCTGACCACTGGAAGAGAAGAAGGCAGGGGAAATTAATAAGATACTTCTTCAAGCCCGTCTGTCCAAAGGGGCCTTTTTGGCTCACGGGTGTTTTTTGAAGATGGCGAGGCTCGCCGGTCCTTCCTTTGCTGCTTCTTGCCTTTCAAATTCTGCCCTGGGGCGATTTGGGGAGCGGTTCAAGGTGGGTCACCCCGCATCGGGGGGCCCTTACCGTGCAGCGGCCAGCCGGTTCAGCTCTTGCCAGTGCTCCAAAAACTGAGCCAATCGCTGCTGGATTTCATCTTTCCCGATTGTGTTGTCGTCGGACAGCTTCTTGCCGGTGTCCAACACGCCCTGTCCGAGAAACACAATCGCACGTTGGGGCAGGGCTAAGCAGAGTCGATCCACCACCACCACCACCACCACCACCCCGCCCTGCGCCGAATGCTCGCTTCCAGGTTTAAATTTTCTCCATTTGAAGACGGTGAAATGCTTTTTAAAGAAGCAGCACCTTCGTGGGCGACTTGGCTGCCAGGCTGAAGATCGTTAAGGGCTTTAAAAGCCAAACGAAAGAGGATCAACCAGGATTCGTTAAGAATGAGGTTCAAGTGTCTGGGCAGCACTTGCAAAAGACAAGGTCTCAATGGGATGTTTTCACCCAGCACAAACTTTGGTCCAATTACTTCATTTTTGTCCTCCAAGATAAAATTCCCGTTCCCCCACCCAAAGGATGTCTAAAATTTCCAGTTTTACGAAGTGGAAGAGATTATCAAGCCAAGGCTAGGCTCTAGGCCTCCTTCTTTCCTTCCTCTCGTCTTCCTTCCTTCCCTCCCTCCCTCATCTGCCTTCCTGTCTTCCTTCCTTCCTTCCTTCCCTTGTTTTCCTTCCTTCCTCTCTTGTCTTCCTTCTTTCCTTTCCTTCTTTCCTTTCTTCCTCTCTTGTCTTCCTTTTTTCCTTCCCTTCCTTCCCTTGTCTTCCTTCCTTCCCTCAAATTTACACAGCTGCCCAACTCACCACACAGTGACTTTAGATAACATTTTCATTCCCAGATGGAATTCGCTCTCCTTGCCCAGCTTTCAAAGCCTCCCATCACCACCACTTCTGTACCTGGATGGCAGGTTCGTGGGCCGCTAGCTCGGCTTCCAGGCGTTTGTGTTTCTTCCTCAGGTTCTGCACCCCAGTGAGGTCCCGTCCGTAGTCTTCCGAGCTAACCAGCAACTTCTTCTCTCTGAGTAGGAAAAGGGAGGGGGGGAAAGAAAGAAGTCAACGGGAGGTCCCCTGCGGGGATTCGAATTCTCTACGTGGCCAAGTCCGTACTTGATCCAGGACTCCTCATCGTCCATATCTCGGAAGAACTGGTGCAAACGGTGGGACTCGTTCAGCTTCGCCCGCCGTCCGGCCGCCATGTTCTTGATCCGCTGAAAACGCCCGTTGATGGTGTCGCGTTTGTCCTTGACTTGGGAGGTGTCGAAAGCACTGCTGGTCATCAGGCTATCGGCTTGGCCGTTGAGGTCCTTCAGGCGATCCTAAACACGGACAAAAAAGAGGACCACCACCCAAGACATGAGGGGGAGCTCTCCAGGAAGGAAGGACAGAATTAACCAGAGTTGGAAGGGACCTTGGAGGTCTTCTAGTCCAACCAAGTGGTAGATCCTAGACCGTTCCAGACAAAAGCCCATTTTTTTTCTTGGAAACCTCCAGCGATGGAGCACCCACAACTATTGAAGGCAACCCGTTCCACTGATTAGTTGTTCTCACTCTCAAGAAATCTCTCCTTAATCCCAGGTTGCTTCTCTCCTTGATCAGTTTCCATCCATTGTTTCTTGTCCTGCCTTCAGGGGCTTAGGAGAATAGCTTGACTCCCTCTTCTTTGGGGCAACCCCTCAAATATTGGGAAACTGCTATCATATCACCCGTAGTCTTTCTTTTCTAGAAGTAGACATTTAATTCTGCCCAGCCCAGCTGCAACTTTCATGGAAAATCAGATGTCTGCCCTGGAACAGATTCCCCCTTAGGCTGTGGTAAATCGATGGTTAATCAAACGGGCGTCATTCTAAGATCGAGAACGTATTAAATCCTCTGGGGATTCCCACCTCATGGGCAGAGATGTCGGCTTCCAGCAACTGGTGCTTCTTCAGGAGATTGTTCACCGAGGCCAGGTCTTTCCCGTAATCTTCGGATGCAAGGAGAGCTTCCACCTGCAAGAAGCCCAACAAGATGAAGGTGGGTCCCCACGTTTCTCCAGGACATGGGTGTCAAATATTCAAAGGTGCCCAAGGCTTTGACTCCCCAGAGACCCCCCAGAAGGGAAGGGAGCTACCTCGGAAAGCCAGAAATCAAAATCCTTGATTCCGGTGTTGAAATTCTGCTGCTTGTTGGCTTCCTTCAGCTTCTGGCTCTTCTCTGCCGATTTCTGCACCAGGAACTCCCACTGGTCAGCCAAGGCCGCCAAACGAGTCTGCCAAGGGGAGAAAGAAAAGGGAATCCAGACTCAGGGTGGGACAAGGAAGGCTGGAGAGGGGAATCTCTCCCTTCACGCTCCCTGGAATCCTGCTCCAGGCAATGAGCGTGGCAGCTTTATCCACGTCATAAAACTTGAGTGAACTTTTTTCCAATAGTTCTTTTACTCTTGTAAAAGAATACTCTAGAATAGAACAGAAGAAGAAGAAGAAGAAGAAGAAGAAGAAGAAGAAGAAGAAGAAGAAGAAGAAGAAGAAGAAGAAGAAGAAGAAGAAGAAGAAGAAGTAGTAGTAGTAGTAGTAGTAGTAGTAGTAGTAGTAGTGCAATTGTACTCCCGGTGGGCAAACACAGAGGTAGTAAAACACCTACCTTCACGGCCTCTTCGCTGCCAGCGCAAGCACCCCGGTCAATGAGGGAATTTCCGACATCAATGACGCCGCGGATTCGGTCCGCGTTGGCGTGGAGCTCTGCTTCGAAGGCCTGGTGCTTCTGATGCTTACTCTGGAGGTGGCAGAAGAGCAGCCGTTAAAACAACTGGAGGATGGCTCCTGAAGGGCTTTGAGAGACGGGGAGGACCAAGAGGATGAGCAGAAGGTTATTTAGAGCAATTAAATTAAATCCACTCCATCTCCCTGAAGGAGGAAGCGTCACAGGGTTTCTGCCTGCTCAGGGACAGGGGGAAATTCACTCGCAAGGGGTTGCTGGACCTCTTGGGGCCGCGGCACATGGACTCTGGAGCTCATGACATCCCAAGGATGAGGGGAATTGTAGTGCCACCGGTCAGAAGGGTTCCGGGGTGCCAAAACCGCTTCCGTTTCATGCATGAATAAAAACGGGGGGGGGGGGGGTGGCCATCAAAACTGAGGTTGCACATGCCAAAATGGGTCGCTTTGTAGTGCAAAGAATCAAAACTGCTGAAAGCTGCTGGCCCACAGGGTCCCCCCTCACCTCATCTGCTACTTAAGCAAGGGCAAGTCACTCTGAGTACAGCACTTGCCGAGGATCGAAAGAACCCTCCCCACCCCCCCAATGTTTCTGGCCAGCGCATGGTAACGAGGTTCCCTCCCCCCCTAATCTTTACAGCCCCCAGCCACACAAAACAACAAAAGGGGAAAGGGGAAGGAAGGAAGGAGAGAAAAAAACAACAACACACACAAGTCACGAGCTGGGCTCACACATCGCAGTCCAGAGAGCTGGGAGGTGTGAGGTTCAGACGAAAAAATGGGCTGCTGCTTTTTATTCCTAATTTGGTCTCTTAGGGGGACGGAGCTGCGCTGTCTTGTTCGCTTGAGGTTTAGAGCGGGGGTCCCCGACCCCCGGACCGTGGCCTATTCAGAACCAGGCTGTGTGACAAGCGTGCCGGTGTGCCTGCGCAGCTCCACTCGCCCAAGCAGCGCCCCCCAAAGGCTTCTCTCTTGAGTAAGTGCGCACATGTGCGTGCCGGCCTGCCACTTGTGTGGCCCAGTTGCCCTCTTCTCCCTCCCACAAGCCAGGCTACCAAGCCAGCTACTCCCAAGGGTCCGAAAGCAGACTGGAAGAGAGCAAAGGCCAAGTGGACTGAGCGCGCCCTTGCTCAGCTTGGCTGACTCACCCAGGCTGCGTGCGCAGGACCCCCAACCTGCTTTTGGGCAGACTCGGTGAGCGTGGAAGGTAGCACGTGACTGTGCCCCCAAAGGCTTCTTTTCTCTACGCTTTGGCCAAAGGACAAAAAACTTCGGAGGAGGAATCTCAGACCTTCCGTCCCTTTTGGCCCGGAGGAGCCTGGAGGGACGTAAAACCGCGTCCCGAAGGCTTCTCTTCTTGCGTGGGTGGAGCAGCGCGTGTGACAGCCCATCACTTGTTCCCCTCTCCCCGCCCCCAGCCAGGCCACCAAGCCGCAAAGGTTTGGGACAGGCTGGTTTAGAGTACTGTGTGAACCCAGCTATTAGGTCAAAGGGAAGAGTTGAGTGCAGACACCTGGCAAGACGTCGGCTTCCCTCACGCTGAACAAGACCAGGATGAATGTGACTTTTAGACCACCCTGTTGATCGTCAAGGAAGGGACCCATTCCCTGTTGACCCCTCTCCCCTTCCTAAGTGTGGCTCTTGGTTGCTTCCTCTCAACCATAATGCACCAGTTCTGGTCAAAGGGAAGGGAGATCCCATCCAGGGACACAACAGCAATGGGTTGGTCCAGCCTCCCCAGGATTCTGCCCTCTGGAAGGCTGATGGCCATGCCAGTTGGGGAGCGTAACAGGGTGTTCAACCTAACACTTTGGGGGGGGGGGAGGCAGGCTGAAGACAGCCCAGCCAGAAGACTTTGAAAGACCAACAAGAGAAGATTCAACTTCCTTCCTCATATATATATATATATACACATATATATACATACATACATATACATATACATATATATATATATAGATTTATGGGGGTGCAGGCAAATTCAAGCAGGTCATGCTGCAAAGTGCACAGGTTAATGGGGAGAGAGGCACTTAACAAGAACCAAAAAGACAAGACAGTCCATGTCAAGGAGGGGAAACGACAACGGTAACAAAAAAAAAAAAAAGAAAAAGAAAAAGCAATCACCGAGTGAGTGGTTAAAACAACAACAACAACAACAACGACGGAAGAACGATCGAACGAACGAGCAGGTGAGTGGATGAAACGTAGACTTCAACACAAATGAAGAAGCCAAATCAAGCCAGCCTCTTTGAACTTACCAAGAGTTTGGAAAGCTATATTTAAAAAAAAAAAAAAAGATGGGAGAGAGAGAAGAACACATCAGTGCCAACCTCTGCTGAGCCAGGAAGAGCTACTTTAAATTTTGAGTTGCTGAGATGACTTTAAAAAGAAGGGGAAAAAAAGCAGATTTAATTTCTGAGAGTAGAACTAGCAAGGACTGGCAAAGGGGAAGGTATGACTTGGTAGGAGAGAGCAAAAGGCCTTGAAAACCAGATTATCTAAAGCCAGGACTGTTAACCTTGGGTCCTAGGGGAAACCAGACCAGGCATTTTAGGTTTCAGGGTCTGTGAAAAGTTGGTTTGGAAAGAAAAGGGTCACACAATCCTCCTCCTCCATAAAACACAGGGGAAATTATCAGCTTTGGGGACCTATCCTGAAAGCGGATTCCTGGAAGAGAAGGGCAAGTATGGAGGGACACCTCAAGTTGATGGGAGATCCAGAATCCAGGGCTGATAAGGATAAATCATCAGGTAACATCTAATAGGATCCCATCTAGTATTTCCTGAGTCCAAATATTTTAGGACTTAACAATGTAAGGAAAGTTTTGCTAGTCTTAATTTTTCAGATTAATTCTCAACTCATTCGTTTAGCAACCGTTCAAAGTTGCAAAAAATGACTCACGACCAGTCTTAAAAGATTACCTGTTCATACAGGTAGCCCTCGCCTTACGTCCACGAGTGAGCCCAATTTTTATGCTGCTAAGCAGGACGTTTGCTAAGTGAGTTTTGCCCCATTTTACGACCTTTCTCGCCACAGTAAATCACTGCAGGGGTTAGTCACATGGTCGTTGAGTCTGGCTTCCCCCTTTTGAGATTCACACATGACCCCTGGGGACACTGCCACCGTCATAAATGTTGAGTCGGTGGCTGAGCGGCCGAATTTTGATCACGTGACCATGGGGACGCTGCAACGGGCGTGTGAAAAATAGTCCTAAGTCACTCTTTTTCAGTGTTGTTGTAAATCTGAACGGTCACTAAATGAACCGTTGTAAGTCAAGGAATGTCTGTAGCAAGTTCCTGGTTTTAAAAACGTATCGAATAATTTAGAAGTGACGTGAACACAGAAGCTACATTATTTGACAAAACAATTTGATTATGATTGCTATCTCTGTTTTACTCGATCAGCAGCCAGTACTCTTAATTTACAATGGGAAAGAAAATGCCATTGCGTAATAATTGCACATTTCCTTCCCTGGCCGGCCACCAGCCACCCGTCTGCCTGTTTGTGGGCCCCATCAGGCTCACCTGGATATTGGTAGGATCTTTGTAGGACTCGTCGCTCGCTGTCTGGAGCTTCTCGCTGATCCAGGCCTCAATTTCGTCCACGTCTCGGCTGAACTGCTGAAGGGTCTGGGATTCTCCCAGCTTGGACCGCTTTTCGATCATCTGAGCTTTTAGCCGACGCCACCTACAAAGCGAAGTACGGTGCAAAAATGAAGCTTTACCAACAGAGGAAGAATTGATTAAAAAAATTTTTTTTAGATTGTGCAGAAATGGATAGATTGACATGGAAAATGAAAGAGAAAGGAGATTCAGTATACTTTAGAACAGGGGTCTTCAAACTTGGCCCTTTTATGACTTGTGGGCTTCAACTCCCAAGAATAGAACAGGGATCTTCAAACTTGGCCCTTTTATGACTTGTGGACTTCAACTCCCAGAATTCCTCAGCCAGCAGAAGTCCACAAGTCATAAAAGGGCCAAGTTTGAAGACCCCTGCTTTAGAACATGGGATACCTTTTATCAATGGCTAGAAAAACGAGGCAGAGAGAAAGGAACTTAACATGTATTAGTAAGTTAAATGTTGGAACCCAGACAAGATGTTGCTGATAAAATATTAAGCATTTGTGATTATAAAAATGTATATATGTATATAAATTTACATATATGTAATATATGTGTAATATATGTAATCATAGTAGTAGACCAGGTGTTCTATTAGACCGGTTTCACCCGAAAACACTTACTAAATACATACACACCCACACACCAGGGAGAATTTGCAAACCTGGGTGAACAACCCAGGACCCTTCACAGGAGCCACTCACCTGTCCAGCACCTCGTGGCGTCTGGTGGCAATGACCCCTTTAGCGTAATGATCGGCGGCAATCAGCTGGTCGGCAAAGGACTGGAGAGCAGCAATCTTTTCCTCCTAAATCAAAATTAAAATTGACACGTGGGAAGAAGGTCACACCTTATTTCCCCGAAAATAAGACCTAACTGGACAAGAAACCTTAGCCTGATTTTTCAGGATGCTCGTAATATGAGCCCCACCTCCAAAAATAAGCCCCAGTCAAGGTTGTCAGCCAGATGGACGCATTTAGTACCGTATTTCCCTGAAAATAAGACCCAACTGGAAAAGAAGCCCTAATGCGTCTTTTGNCCTTCACGCTCCCTGGAATCCTGCTCCAGGCAATGAGCTTGGCATTTTTATCCACGTCATAAAACTTGAGTGAACTTTTTTCCAATAGTTCTTTTACTCTTGGAAAAGAATACTCTAGAATAGAATAGAAGAAGAAGAAGAAGAAGAAGAAGAAGAAGAAGAAGAAGAAGAAGAAGAAGAAGAAGAAGAAGAAGAAGAAGAAGAAGAAGAAGAAGAAGAAGAAGAAGAAGAAGAAGAAGAAGAAGAAGAAGAAGAAGAAGAAGAAGAAGTAGTAGTAGTAGTAGTAGTAGTAGTAGTAGTAGTAGTAGTAGTAGTAGTAGTGCAATTGTACTCCCGGTGGGCAAACACAGAGGTAGTAAAACACCTACCTTCACGGCCTCTTCGCTGCCAGCGCAAGCACCCCGGTCAATGAGGGAATTTCCGACATCAATGACGCCGCGGATTCGGTCCGCGTTGGCGTGGAGCTCTGCTTCGAAGGCCTGGTGCTTCTGATGCTTACTCTGGAGGTGGCAGAAGAGCAGCCGTTAAAACAACTGGAGGATGGCTCCTGAAGGGCTTTGAGAGACGGGGAGGACCAATAGGATGAGCAGAAGGTTATTTAGAGCAATTAAATTAAATCCACTCCATCTCCCTGAAGGAGGAAGCGTCACAGGGTTTCTGCCTGCTCAGGGACAGGGGGAAATTCACTCGCAAGGGGTTGCTGGACCTCTTGGGGCCACGGCACATGGACTCTGGAGCTCATGACATCCTAAGGATGAGGGGAATTGTAGTGCCACCGGTCAGAAGGGTTCCGGGGTGCCAAAACCGCTTCCGTTTCATGCATGAATAAAATTAGGGGGGGGGTTGGCCATCCAAACTGAGGTTGCACATGCCAAAATGGGTCGCTTTGTAGTGCAAAGAATCAAAACTGCTGAAAGCTGCTGGCCCACAGGGTCCCCACTCACCTCACCTGCTACTTAAGCAAGGGCAAGTCACTCTGAGTACAGCACTTGCCGAGGATCGAAAGAACCCCCCCCACCCCCAATGTTTCTGGCCAGCACGTGGTAACAAGGTCCCCCCCTAATCTTTACAGCCCCCAGCCACACAAAACAACAAAACGGGGAAGGAGAAGGAAGGAAGGAAGGAAAAAGAGAGAAAAAAACAACAACACACACAAGTCACGAGCTGGGCTCACACACCGCAGTCCAGAGAGCTGGGAGGTGTGCGGTTCAGACGAAAAAAGGGGCCGCTGCTTTTTATTCCTAATTTGGTCTCTTAGGGGGACGGAGCTGCGCTGTCTTGTTCGCTTGAGGTTTAGAGCGGGGGTCTCTGACCCCCAGACCGTGGCCTATTCAGAACCAGGCCGTGTGACAAGCGGGCTGGTGTGCCTGCGCAGCTCCACTAGCCCAAGCAGCGCCCCCCAAAGGCTTCTCTCTTGAGTAAGTGCGCACATGTGCGTGCCGGCCTGCCACTTGTGTGGCCCAGTTGCCCTCTTCTCCCTCCCACAAGCCAGGCTACCAAGCCAGCTACTCCCAAGGCTCCGAAAGCAGACTGGAAGAGAGCAGAGGCCAAGTGGACTGAGCGCGCCCTTGCTCAGCTTGGCTGACTCACCCAGGCTGCGTGCGCAGGACCCCCAACCTGCTTTTGGGCAGACTCGGTGAGCGTGGAAGGTAGCACGTGACTGTGCCCCCAAAGGCTTCTTTTCTCCACGCTTTGGCCAAGGGACAAGAAGCTTCGGAGGAGCAATCTCAGACCTTCCGTCCCTTTTGGCCCGGAGGAGCCTGGAGGGGCGTAAAACCGCGTCCCGAAGGCTTCTCTTCTTGCGTGGGTGGAGCAGCGCGTGTGACAGCCCATCACTCGTTCCCCTTTCCCCGCCCCCAGCCAGGCCACCAAGCCGCAAAGGTTTGGGACGGGCTGGTTTAGAGTATTGTGTGAACCCAGCTATTAGGTCAAAGGGAAGAGTTGAGTGCAGACATCTGGCAAGACGTCGGCTTCCCTCACGCTGAACAAGACCAGGATGAATGTGACTTTTAGACCACCCTGTTGATCGTCAAGGAAGGGACCCATTCCCTGTTGACCCCTCTCCCCTTCCTAAGTGTGGCTCTTGGTTGCTTCCTCTCAACCATAATGCACCAGTTCTGGTCAAAGGGAAGGGAGATCCCATCCAGGGACACAACAGCAATGGGTTGGTCCAGCCTCCCCAGGATTCTGCCCTCCGGAAGGCTGATGGCCATGCCAGTTGGGGAGCGTAACAGGGTGTTCAACCTAACACTTTGGGGGGGGGGGGAGGCAGGCTGAAGACAGCCCATCCAGAAGACTTTGAAAGACCAACAAGAGAAGATTCAACTTCCTTCCTCATATATATATATATACACATATATATACATACATACATATACATATACATATATAGATTTATGGGGGTGCAGGCAAATTCAAGCAGGTCATGCTGCAAAGTGCACAGGTTAATGGGGAGAGAGGCACTTAACAAGAACCAAAAAGACAAGACAGTCCATGTCAAGGAGGGGGAACGACAACGGTAACAAAAAAAAAGAAAAAGCAATCACCAAGTGAGTGGTTAAAACAACAACAACAACAACAACGGAAGAACGATCGAACGAACGAGCAGGTGAGTGGATGAAACGTAGACTTCAACACAAATGAAGAAGCCAAATCAAGCCAGCCTCTTTGAACTTACCAAGAGTTTGGAAAGCTATATTTAAAAAAAAAAACAAAATAAAAGATGGGAGAGAGAGAAGAACACATCAGTGCCAACCTCTGCTGAGCCAGGAAGAGCTACTTTAAATTTTGAGTTGCTGAGATGACTTTAAAAAGAAGAAAAAAAAAAGCAGATTTAACTTCTGAGAGTAGAGCTAGCAAGGACTGGCAAAGGGGAAGGTATGACTTGGTAGGAGAGAGCAAAAGGCCTTGAAAACCAGATTATCTAAAGCCAGGACTGTTAACCTTGGTCCTAGGGGAAACCAGACCAGGCATTTTAGGTTTCAGGGTCTGTGAAAAGTTGGTTTGGAAAAAAAAGGGTCCCACAATCCTCCTCCTCCAGAAAACACAGGGAAAATTATCAGCTTTGGGGACCTATCCTGAAGGCGGATTCCTGGAAGAGAAGGGCAAGTATGGAGGGACACCTCAAGTTGATGGGAAATCCAGAATCCAGGACTGATAAGGATAAATCATCAGGTAACATCTAATAGGATCCCATCTAGTATTTCCCGAGTCCAAATATTTTAGGACTTAACAATGTAAGGAAAGTTTTGCTATTCTTAATTTTTCAGATTAATTCTTCTCAACTCATTCGTTTAGCAACCGTTCAAAGTCGCAACGGTGTTAAAAATAATGACTCACGACCGGCCTTAAAAGATTACCTGTTCATACAGGTAGTCCTCGCCTTACGGGCACAAATGAGCCCAACCTTTCTGCTGCTAAGCGGGACGTTTGCTAAGTGAGTTTTGCCCCATTTTACGACCTTTCTCGCCACAGTAAATCACTGCAGGGGTTAGTCACATGGTCGTTGAGTCTGGCTTCCCCCTTTTGAGATTCACACATGACCCCTGGGGACACTGCCACCGTCATAAATGTTGAGTCGGTGGCTGAGCGGCCAAATTTTGATCACGTGACCATGGGGACGCTGCAACGGGCGTGTGAAAAATAGTCCTAAGTCACTCTTTTTCAGTGTTGTTGTAAATCTGAACGGTCACTAAATGAACCGTTGTAAGTCAAGGAATGTCTGTAGCAAGTTCCTGGTTTTAAAAACGTATCGAATAATTTAGAAGTGACGTGAACACAGAAGCTACATTCTTTGATCTAACAATTTGCTTATGATTATTATCTCCATTTTACTTGATCAGCAGCCAGTACTCTTAATTTACAATGGGAAAGAAAATGCAATTGCGTAATAATTGCACATTTCCTTCCCTGGCCGGCCACCAGCCACCCGTCTGCCTGTTTGTGGGCCCCATCAGGCTCACCTGGATATTGGTAGGATCTTTGTAGGACTCGTCGCTCGCTGTCTGGAGCTTCTCGCTGATCCAGGCCTCAATTTCATCCACGTCTCGGCTGAACTGCTGCAGGGTCTGGGATTCTCCCAGTTTGGACCGCTTTTCGATCATCTGAGCTTTCAGCCGACGCCACCTACAAAGCGAAGCAAAAATGAAGCTTTACCAACAGAGGAAGAATTGATTAAAAAAAATTTTTTTAGATTGTGCAGAAATGGATAGATTGACATGGAAAATGAAAGAGAAAGGAGATTCAGTATACTTTAGAACAGGGATCTTCAAACTTGGCCCTTTTATGACTTGTGGACTTCAACTCCCAGAATTCCTCAGCCAGCAGAAGTCCACAAGTCATAAAAGGGCCAAGTTTGAAGACCCCTGCTTTAGAACATGGGATACCTTTTATCAATGGCTAGAAAAACGAGGCAGAGAGAAAGGAACTTAACATGTATTAGTAAGTTAAATGTTGGAACCCAGACAAGATGTTGCTGATAAAATATTAAGCATTTGTGATTATAAAAATGTATATATATATATATATAAATTTACATATATGTAATATATGTGTAATATATGTAATCATAGTAGTAGACCAGGTGTTCTATTAGACCGGTTTCACCCGAAAACACTTACTAAATACATACACACCCACACACCAGGGAGAATTTGCAAACCCGGGTGAACGACCCAGGACCCTTCACAGGAGCCACTCACCTGTCCAGCACCTCGTGGCGTCTGGTGGCAATGACCCCTTTAGCATAATGATCGGCGGCAATCAGCTGGTCGGCAAAGGACTGGAGAGCAGCAATCTTTTCCTCCTAAATCAAAATTAAAATTGACACGTGGGAAGGTCACACCTTATTTCCCCGAAAATAAGACCTAACTGGACAAGAAACCTTAGCCTGATTTTTCAGGATGCTCGTAATATGAGCCCCACCTCCAAAAATAAGCCCCAGTCAAGGTTGTCAGCCAGATGGACGCATTTAGTACCGTATTTCCCTGAAAATAAGACCCAACTGGAAAAGAAGCCCTAATGCGTCTTTTGGAACAAAAATTAATATAAGACCCGGTCTTATTTTCAGGGAAATATGGGTAGTACCGTAGCAAAGCCGGAGCAAAAGCTTGGATGGTGAAAAGGAATCCCTATTGTTCTCCCACTGCCTGGGACAAAAACTGACAGCCACCTTACAGTTCAAACAGTAACAAACTGCTTGTTAATTAGTTAACAGAGATGGCTAAATGGGCTGCTTTGATTAAAGAAAAGAATGCAATTAATTTTGTTTCTACTTGGAAACTGCTTTTGGTGCGTGAGGTGGGGAAAAAAAATCAAGGTTTTGGGTTTTGTCGATTATCATTAGATAAACTTGTTGTCCCAGGAATAGCAACCTGGAATTAAGGAGAAACTTCCTTACAGTGAGGACAATTAACCAGTGGAACAGCTTGCCACCAAAAATCGTAGGCGCTCCATCACTGGAGATTTTTAAGAAGAGACTAGAGGACATTCACCTGTCTGAGGCGGTATAGGTTCTGCTGCTTGAGCAGGGGGCTGGACTAGAAGATCTCCAAGATCCCGTCCTATTCTATTCTATTCTATTCTATTCTATTCTATTCTATTCTATTCTATTCTATTCTATTCTATTCTATTCTCTACATTATATATTCTATTCTATTCTATTCTATTCTATTCTATTCTATTCTATTCTATTCTATTCTATTCTATTATTATGTAAAAGTAAAAAGTTGAGGTTTTATGTTACCGCCTTACCCTACTAAACCAAAAGGAGTGGGAAGCCAATGCCTTTTCTGTTTTCTTTTCCCCTTAGGCTACACTTTTTCTTCTTCCCTTTTATTTTCCCATCATCTTCATTTTTCTTTGTGTTTCTGTCTTTTATATTTTGATAAACTAATAAAAAAACCCATTGAGAACCCTGACAAACCACTTGTAATTATTTCTGCGTTTGTTACGGCTTCCAAAGCAGCCCCACCTGGACGTTGATGGCCTTGTCGAAGTCTTCGTGCTTCTTGATCAGGGCCTCCACGCTATCCAGAGAATCCCCCTTATCTTCCGTGTTCAAAAAGGCCTCCCGTGCAGCCATCCAGTTCTCTGCCTGCTCGCAGTCCCTGTGGAAGAGCTAAGGAGAAGGGGGAAAGAAGCACGTCGGTGAAACCTGAGTGACAGGTGCCCATTTCAGCCCCAAGGTGGTGTGTCAATTACAGAGAAGAGCAACAAAGATGATTAGGGGACTGGAGGCTAAAGCATATAAGGAAAGGCTGCTGGAATTGGGTCTGTCTAGTTTAATGAAGAGAAGGACGAGGGGGGACAGGATAGCAGCTTTCCAGTATCTCAGGGGCTGCCCCAAAGAAGAGGGAGTCAAGCTCTTCTCCAAAGCACCTGAAGGCAGGACAAGAAGCAAAGGATGGAAACTAACCAAGGAGAGAAGCAACCTAGAACTAAGGAGAAACTTCCTGACAGTTAGAACAATTAACCAGTGGAACAACCTGCCTCCAGAAGCGGTGAATGCTCCAACACTGGAAGTCTTTAAGAAGAGACTGGACAGCCATTTGTCTGAAATGGTATATAGGGTTTCCTGCCTGAGCAGGGGGTTGGACTAGATGACCTCCAAAGTCCCTTCCAACTTTATTATTATTATTATTATTATTATTAACAAGGGTGGGAGCTAAAGGTCTATGGAGATTCTCAACCTTCCAGGTCACGGCTCTCCCCAAAGGTGCTTTTCAAATATTTATTTTTGGGAAAGGTTTTGCTTCTCATTCGAGAAGCTTGAGAACTGAAGAAGTTTCATGGATGGGAAGTGAAATGTTTTCAAAGAATAAACTCCCCCCCCCAAAAAATTAAGATTAAGATAACCTTTATTGTCATTTTTAACTGGGGGGGGGAGGGTTGGATTTTTCGCCCAATGGGCGTACCTGTAATTCCAGACACTGGTCCAACATCATTCGGCGTTGGACCCAGGCGTTTTCCAGGTCCGCCCGTTCCTGGTCGAGGATATCCAGCTTCTCCTTGATCTCAGGGCTGGCGTAGTGGCCGCGGGCCAGGAGCTGCTGCCCGAACTGCTCGAATGCCTGGAAGGTGCCAGCTCTGGCGTCAATTTCGGTGCGGTGTTCCTGAAAGAGAGTGAGATGCAAGGGCTTGGGTGGGGAAGCGACGGAAGATCTTCACTGGCAGGTCAGCGGTGGGCAGGCAGGTGCTTGGACCTAGGGGAGAGGTGCCGAGAACTTGGGGGGCAAATTCCTGGCTTTCTAGCTCCTCCAAAGAGACCCATCTGCAGCCATAGAAACCATTAAGTGAGACATATTTTTGATGCTAATGCCCAAAGACCTCTAAGAATATCCAGAATAAAATAGAATAGAATAGAACAGAGCAGAATAGAGTAGAGTAGAGTAGAATAGAATAGGAATAAAGAATGGAGAATAGAATAGAATAGAGTAGAGTAGAATAAAATAGAGAATAGAATAGGGAATAGACTAGAATAGGGAATAGACTAGAATAGAATAGGGAATAGACTAGAATAGACTAGACTAGAGAATAGAATAGGGAATAGACTAGACTAGAATAGGGAATAGACTAGACTAGAATAGGGAATAGAATAGAGTAGAGTAGAGTAGAGTAGAGTAGAGTAGAATAGAATAGAATAGAATAGAATAGAATAGAATAGAATAGAATAGAATAGAATAGAATAGAGAATAGAATAGGGAATAACTAGACTAGAATAGGGAATAGAATAGAATAGAATAGAATAGAATAGAATAGAATAGAATAGAATAGAATAGAATAGAATAGAATAGAATAGAATAGAGAATAGAATAGGGAATAGACTAGAATAGGGAATAGACTAGAATAGAATAGGGAATAGACTAGACTAGAATAGGGAATAGAATAGGAATAAAGAATGGAGAATAGACTAGAATAGGGAATAGAACAGAATAGGAATCGAACAGATCAGAACATAACAGAACACAACAGAATAAAATAGAACAGAACAGAAAATAGAATAGAACAGAACAGAATAGAAAATAGAACAGAACAGAACAGAACAGAAGAGTTGGAAGGGACGTGTCCCCACCAGAATTGGGCAATTTCTGGCCACTCTCCTAGGACTAGGGACGGATCTGGTTGCTCCCATGAATTCCTTGGTGAAGGAACGGAATAAAAAGTAAAGAAACGGGAGACTAATCTGAGGGTCATGCAAGAAGCTGCAGAAAATGGACCTCAGCTATCCTAGCACAGGTTTAAAAGCAGGTCTGAGGTCTCTGCCCTGCAGGGAACCTTCACGTACTTGGTGTCTCTCCAACAAAGCTTCTGCTCCTGTCACGTCCTTGGCCAGCTCATCGGAGGACACGAGGCCTCGGATGCCATTGATCCAAGACATGAGGTCCCTGGGGAAAGAGGGAGAGAGAGCAACCCGGTTACATCGGCAGGTCTCTGAGGGGAGGTAGGGATAGCGGTCCTGAGCTTTTGCCCCCCAAACCTAAACCCACCTGAAGTCACTCAGGAAACGCTGCAGGTCGTGGGATTCGCCCAGTTTCTCCTTGCGCTGGTTGGCCCGTTTCCCCAGGCTGTTCCAAGCCTGGTTCAGTTCTGTGCATTTTTCCTGGAGATCTTCCGAGGATTCGGGGTGGGACTGGATCAACCGCTCCGCAGTTTCTCCCAAAGAGTTGACCTGAAGCAGAGAGAGAGAGAGAGACGGGAGGAATGTCAACGCTGCTCACATCGGATGTTCTTGCTTTGACCACGTATGGAGAGGCAGCCATTTTCCTTCTTATGTTTTACTCTTAGAATTAAGAGTTGGAATTAGATGATGCGGGGGGGGGGGGGGGGGGGGGGGGGGGGGGGGGGGGGGGGGGGGGAGAAAGGAGGAATGTGCATGGGAGTTAGCTAGACATAACAATATTGTTAACAGTGTGAGAACCAAGGTTTTTTGAAATAAGAGATGATAAGAAATGGCGGGTCTGGAGAACAGGAGGGAAAGTCTGCATTTCAAACTAATTGGAGAACGTGATTTACGACTGTTCATTAGAGGAGGGAATTGTGCTTTGATACTATGTGCTCAGGGGAGGGGAATTCAGATTTTGGCTTTGCTATGATACTCGAATAAAGATTCCTTAAGGTAAACAATGCCTCCAAGTTCTTTGAAGAGTTTCATCTGTCGGAACCATGACAAGGAGAAGATCAGGAAGGATGGAATAATTTTGCCCCCCCCCAAAAGAGAGATTTTGTTACTCTCCCTCTCTACCTTGTCTCCCAGAGCTGCCAAATCTCTCTCAAAGCCCTCATGCTTGCGCTGAAGGGCCTGCACGCTTGCCAAGTCATGCCCGTAGTTGTCGGTGTTGAGGGCCTGGTTCTTTTCTTCGATCCACTCCTTGGTCTCGTCGGCATCTCTGGAAGGCCACAAGAATATCAGTAAGGTTTATAAAATGTTATTGAAACTGAATTTGGAAAGTGGAGATGTAAAACACATTCAGTGGGCAAGGAACTTTGGACAGAATGTGATATTGGAACAACGGGAGAATATGTGGACGAAAAGCTTAAAAATTCACAGTGAGTGATAATTGAAAAGAAAAAATCTATAAGATGATGTACCGCTGCTATTTAACTCCAGTTAAGTTATCGAGAATGTATAAAGGTATTTCAAATGAAATGTTGGAAATGTTATTGTTTTATCACTTACGGTGGACATGCGATGAAGCAAAGAAAATATCGGAGTAGGATTCTTATCTTAATACAGAAAATTCTTGAAGTCAAGATAAAGAGGAAACCAGATTTTTTTCTTCTGGGCTAATGGAAAAAGACTTAGAAAAAAAAATTGGAACTTTTCCCCTCCTCCCTCTCACTTCTCTTTCCCTTTTCCCTCCCCAGTGGGTCCTACTAATTGTTTTTATATTTTGGTACTTTATTTTTTAATCCAATAATATAAATTTGAAAAAAAGAAGAGCTCTGATATTATCCAGCTCTTTGGCAAGTGACTGGACAGCCAACCTATATGCACGAACATCAAAGGCAAAATCCTTTCATCCAAACTCAACTGGACCAATCATGGCCTTTCAATTCCGGCTTGGCAGCAGATCCAGTTACGAGAGGATGCAGGATAAGAGCAGCAGCAGCAGCTCTCCTCACCTGTGGAACCGCTGGACCTCATGGGCACTTCCCAACAGCTGGCTCCTCTCTTCTGCCAGCTGTTGTAGAGATCGCCAGCGCTCGTTCAGCTCCTGGAGAACACGAGAAATAAAGAAAGGGGTGTATCAACCCAAAACATGCCGCAATGCCCTTTGCAAGGTCTTTAAAAGAATGATGCCTTAATCCAAGGGTCTTCAAACTTGGCCCTTTTATGACTTGTGGACTTCAACTCCCAGAATTCCTCAGCCAGGCACGCTGTTTTTAAGTTTTTAAAGCGGATGGAATGTGAAAGGTCGAAGGTTTTTTTTTAACGGTGTCCCTTCAGATTCAGGGATGGAGCTGATCTTTACCTTGATGGAGTTGAATGTGGCTACTGTGTGTATCATCATCCGTGCAGACTGGAGACAGGAGAGGAATTGAAAAACAAGAATGATTAAAACACAAGTCACATTAACGGCACAAAAACAGTACATAGAGACATGTTCCCTGTTCCCTTTCTAGGCCCCACCCCAGTTAAGAGTTATTCTCAAAGGAAATTTACCTTCCAAGGAGATGCAGTCTTGGAATCAGCTTCATCCTGTTTGAATGAATTATCAGGGGAAAAAAAAGAATTTCAGAGCTCACCCAATAGAAGATGCCTCTTTGAATATTTAGACTTAATTATGCAAGGGGGAAAAAAAACTCCTTTTTCCCCTCTTTTGCTGGGGACATAACAAAGGCTGGTTCCTATGGATTTCCAAATAAATGCAAGCGAGGTTGTGCTGATTCACCTTTTTGTATTTTGAACATGTAATGACAGTGTGCAGATAAGATGAGGCTAAGGGGAAGGATTCTTCAGATCAATCTCTCTTTTTCTCCCCTTTTTTGTTTTTCCAGACCCCAATTTCCCCCCCATTTCAAAAGCATGTTTCAGGAGATGCTTACCCGTGGCATCATTCCATAGACTTCCTAAAAAAAAAGAAAAGACATAAACAATTATTTCTGAATGGAAGAATCTACATTCTGTAGAAAATCAGAAGTTCACCATCCATTTCAAAAAATGAGATTTTTTTTTTAAAAAAGAAACATTTTTTCCAAAAACAGTAAAAAGAGCAAACGGGGAGGAAAAAAAATCAGCTGTAATTCAATTTCTTTGAAATTCCTAAAAGCAAACAGGTCACCCCAGTGCTTCCAATAGCTGCACTGACGCAGCGGAAAAGACAGAGCAAATTTAACATGCCTGCAAGTCAGAGGTGGTAAAAAAATTAAGGGAATCCACTTTCCAGTCTAAAGCTTCTATGTGGGGTCCAAGATTAACGTGACAATTTAGTGCTACCTGTGTTTTTATGGAGGATTCCACTGAAACATGAAGAAGTCATGGATTTCTGTATTTTTTTTTCCAGATAGGAAGACCCAGAGATTGTACCTTAAGAATCTAAAATGAAGACCTGCTAGTTAGCAGGTTGGATGAGATCTCTGGAGGAAAGTACACCAGAAATAGCGCAAGGTGGTTTTTCTATGAGATTACGTAGATCCAGAAAAGTCCATCAGGAAAAAAAAACCCTGCATAAAACCAACTGGATGCATTTTCAAGAGCATCTAAATAAGGGGTCCCCAACCCCTGGCCCATTATTGTGTCGTGAACTGTTCACAACCGGATCACGGAGGTGGCGGGCAAATGCGTGCGCATCCCACTTGCGCGGGCAGAGGGAAAGCATGCGCCCGCTTGTGCAAATGGAGCTGCGCCCGCTTGTCAGCTGCTCGTGGGGAACCATCTCCTTCCCCCCCCCCAGTCTGCAAAGCTGGAACGGTTGGGGAACTCTGATCTAAACCATATTTCTTCAACTGGGTGTTGGACAATAATATCAGGCAGGATGGCTTAAGTGAAAAGAATGGCGAGAGTTGAGTTCGTTCCATCTGAGAGGCACCTGGTTGGAGAATCCTGCCTAAAACCATCAGCGAATACTGGACAGGAGACGGCCAAGGAATCCGAGCATACCTGCTGTTGCACTGCTTGGACCTCTTCAGCTATGAGACCTTCTGACTCCAAGTCATTTGCCACCCTGTTGATGTCCTTCAGACGGGACTCGTTTGCTTTCAGATCCTGCGTGGAGGATAAAATGCTCAATGGGTGAGAATTCAGCAAGTGAGAGATACGCCAGCCTCAAAACAAGAGGAGATGGGCCCATCTCACAGAAGAGTTGAGGCTCTCCAGGATGAGAGAGCCAATGAATAATGTAATTTCTTAATTACAGCTTGGGTTTAATGTGTATACTGAGAACCGGATTAAAATGCTCCTGGGCGCTGTTAACTTGTCTAGGAGTCACTGCTACAGTTTTTAAAGGAAGCTTCTCTTAAATTAGTTGGCTGCTCCCAAGAGGACACATGCCCCGAAATCTCAACAGCCTGGTTCTTTGAGATGGACCTTCTAGGACCTTCTAGATCTGTGGAATTCAACTCCCGGCGTGGCTGGCTGGGGAATTGTGGGAGTTGACGTTCAGAAGTCTTGAAGTCGCCAAGGTTGGACACCCTTCTCCTAGAAGGTCTCCATCTTGACAATCTTGTTTCCGCCTCCGAGATGGCGGGACGGAATATGTTTTGTGTCTTTCTCCCCTTTGCCATTCATCACCCACCTTCTGGAAGTCATCAAACTTCTTCTGCAGCACCTCCACCTGCTCCAGGTCAGCCCCCATCTCCTCGTTGGCCAAGGTGGCCTCCTTTTCGTGGATCCACTGTTGCAGCTCGTTGGCCTCCCGGAACAGCATGAACTTCTTACAGCTTTTCTCCAGCATGTCTTTACGTTTCTCTCCCAGTTCCAGGAGGGAGTGGTACCTGCAGGGCAGTGGGGAGGAAGCCGACAGAGGGTCCGGTCAGAGGGCAACAGAGCGGGTGGCAGCATCGCAAACCATCTCCAGAGGCTTGGGGCCTCGCAGACGGGGGCACAAAGGGCTCCGCGAGCAGAGAACCGCTACCTCAGAAGCCTCTACAAACAATCACAGCAGACCCGACAACAACCACCACCACCACAAGCAGAAGCAGGCTTCGACAGAGAGAGAAAAGGATGGTTGGTACAGCCTTGAAACTCCAGACTCCTTCCGTGTACAGCCGCCTCCTCGGGGCTCCGCCAACCTAACCAGATGGGCTCCAGATGTGACAGGTTACAAGGGTGGAAAGGAATTTGGAGAATTGTACTCTGGAGAGCACCACGCAGGGGGAAGCTAGGAAAACTGTGCAGGTAATCCTTGATTTACAACCGTTGTTTGAAATTACAACGGCACGGGGAAAGGCGACATGACCATTTTTCATACTTACAACTGCACGGTCACGTGATTCAAAATCCAGACACTTGGCAACGGACTCATATTTACGACCGTTGCAATGTCCCAGGGTCACGTGACCCCCCCCCTTGCAACCTTCTGACAAGTCGATGGGGAAGCCAGACTGACTTTAACAACCGTTGTCGGTAACTTAACTGCAGTGATTCCCTTAACAATTGTAGCAAGCAAGGTCATAAGATGGGGCGGACTCACTTAACAAATGTTTCGCTAGAAAATTTTGGGCTCGAGTGTGCTCGTAAGTCAAGGACTACCTGTGCTCCTTGAAGCACACCTGGAGAGCACCAGGCTGGGAGAAATTAGCCCAGATCTAAACGAATCAGCATCGACGAGGTTGTTTTTTGTTTTTTTTCCTGTTGTACACCAAAGTGGCTCTTGAGCCTCTCAAAAGTCTATGACAAATGGGAAAATGCTCTTTTTTTTTTTTCCTCAAACACTTCCTGAAGAGCCCTTGGATTCGAGAGAGCCCACTGAGTTGAACACTCCGAAGAGAGGGCTAACCCCCGACAGGCAGAAAAGACACAAAACAGCAGAGTGTTGGGAGACAGCGTGGTTTTAATGAAGGCTAGGCCTACTCACAGTTCTTCCACCTGTTTCATACGCAGAGATACACTGCCGATCTCCTTAGTAAGGAAAGTCCTGCACAGACAAGAGAGGGGGGGAGCACAGCAGAAAAAAAGCATGCGCAAAATTAGTCTGATTAACAAAAACGAAGGAAGGGAAGGGTGCAGTCCGACACAAACACAAAAGGCTCTGCCCCCAGGAGCACTTGGAGGGGGGCAGGCAGAGGACAGAAGAGGAGTCGAAGTGGGAAGGACGGGGTGGGGGTGAAGGGGGACACACAGACATCGTGGCAGCAGGAAGAACACCGGGGGACGATTACAGAGGCCCGATTGTACAGTTCGGTTCCCGTTCAATCAACAGAAAAGAGGGCATGGTTTTAAAATATATATATATGCTGAAGGACAAGAAGCAGTGGGATCTCAGGTTAGGAAGGAAAAGATTAAAAATAAAAGAGGAATGGGAGTGATTTTCGATGCAATTGATTGTGGGGGGAGGGAAAAAAAGCAAGAGCTGGCAAAGGTGAAACTAGGGAGCAGGTTAAATCCGTCTCGAGTGCCTAGGGTTGATTCCTAATCTGGTTTAAAGTCAGTCTTACTGGTGATCGATCTGTTCTTGGCGCAAGGCGATGCTGCCCTGTTCCTCCAAGAGGTTCTCGCGAGAGGCGGACTGCGCGGGGTCCAGCTTCTTCACGTACGCAGCCGGCACGAAACCCTGACGGTCGTTCACTTCCACTTTCCACCAATCCTGCAAAATAAGGGGGGGGGGGAGAGAGAGAGACAAATCAAAAGGAAATTAATAAATAAAAATGAAAAAGGAATCGGTTTTGTTCTGGGCTTTATGCCAAGGAGGTCGCCGTCGCTGCCGTCACCCGTCGCAAAAGGTAGAAAGGGAATAAAGAACGTAGCTGGAAGGTCTTGAGAAGTTTGATGGCTCTTTCAGAATTTCACGGGATCTGGGTTTTTTGTTTTTTTTTTTACCTTGTTGGTGCTGTTCAGGAGAGTCAGAATGTCCCCCTTCTTCATGGTGACTTCGCGAGGGCTCTTCTCCTGGTAGTCGTACAGGGCTAAGACCAGCTCTTTGCCCGTTTCGTCGTCCGTGGGGGCTACTTGTTGCTGTAAAAGAGGAACGGGTCCTTGGATTAGATTCTTGGACTAAGGATGGATGCTTGGACTTCACAGCACCCTGAGATGGGCATGGTCAACTGTCCAGTTGGCACTTCCAGGGAAAGAAACTCCTGGGGCATGATTTTTACCAAGAGTATAATACTTTACTGAAAGTTTACATTGGCACGGAAGAAAGCAAAACCAGCTCTTAAGTTTCCCGCTCGAAGGCTTGCTTAGTTAAACGATAGACTCCCTCCACCCCTACCCACCGGGTGTTCACAGTGTCCAATAGGAATATTTCTTCTGGTTATGGAAACGGTCCACTTCTCCCTCGAGCAGCTGTGTCAACCTGGCCTTGGCTCTCCGTTGTCATCCCTCCCACCTTTGCGCCCCATTGTCAAGATATGAGCAAAAGAGAAAATCTAAGTGAAAAGACCAATCGGTCTTGACAGGTGTCTTATTTCTCCTGGCAGCTAGAGCTACTGGATGGTTCAGTTCGGGGGCCTGGGAGGGCCATCAACATCTGGGAAATGGCCCCTCCTCAGTCTGATTTACCACCAGCTTATCAAGTACTTAGGAGGCCAAACAACAGCCAGGGGCTTCATAACCAGCCATCAACACCCCCATCAACATCTAAAAAACCATACACAACAGGTACCATATAAGTACCACCAACACAAAAGTGCAAGGCACACGCTCCACTGGAGAGAAATTCCCCGAAGATGGGCTCCAGCGCTTTGCCAAAAGCTCGGAAGACAAAAAGCTCTGGTTCCCGGGGACTAACCCAGATTGGATCAAACTCTTTCCCCCTTACCCGACAAGCCTGGGCCTGCTCCTTCAGGGCTTGAATGCTGCTGCCGTAGGCGGAGAGATCAGACATCAACGCTTCGTGCTTCTTGAGAAGAGCCTGGAAGGAGGAGAAAAACTCATCTTTAGCCCTCTCTCGGGTGGCACACGGACCAAGTCAGAGCTTGCTTCCAGAACAGAATAGAACAACAGAGTTGGAAGGGACCGTGGAGGTCTTCTAGTCCAGCCCCCTGCTCAGGCAGGAAACCCTACACCAGTGGTGGCGAACCTATGGCACGCGTGCCAGAGGCGGCACTCAGAGCCCTCTCTGTTGGCACGCGCGCTGCCGCTGCCAACAGCAGGTCCATCCGGCTGCCGCCACCGCCCAGAGCAGGAGCCCCGCCCAGCATAAAGGAGGCCAAGCAGCCGACTAGCAAGCTCGAGTAGAGGTGGGTAGAGCAGAGGTCACCAACACTGTCGATTGGTGGACTGGAAGAAAAGGGAGGGGGAAGCATTTTACATGCGTGCAAGCAAGCACGCATGCACTGCAAATGGGGCAGGACTAGTGCCTGTGTGATACTCACTCGCCCTGCCCCGTTCTTGCGTGGTGCAGTGCCTTGTATCTGCGCCCTGTGGTGCCGCGGCGGCCGTGTTTGCATCTTGCAGCACAGCGGCCCATTTTTGCACGCCTGGTTTCTGCGTGCCAGACGTGGCCCTCAGAGGCACCTTCCTGCCACCACCACCCCTCCCGAGGGCACCACAATGCTGATGCGCCCCTGGCACTTTGCGATAAATAAGTGGGTTTTGGGTTGCGGTTTTGGCACTCAGTCTCTAAAAGGTTCGCCATCACTGCCCTACACCGTTTCAGACAACGGTTCTCAAGCGAGATCGTCACACCACGTACGGCACGGCTGGGATCTAGGAACAAAGCCTAGCCAGGCGCAAGAACGCACCTCGGCAGAGTCCTCGTCCTTTCCGTAGTCCGTGCTCCCCACAATGGGCTCCTTCTCCCTCATCCAAGATTCAGCCTCGTTGGCGTCGGCAAAGTACTGCTGGGCCTGCAGGGAGTCTTCCAAATCCTGCCGGCGCTGGGAGGCCTTCCCTTTCAAGGATTCCCACTTCTGGTTGAGGTCGTTCAGTTTGGCTTTCACATCTTC